CTGGATGGAGCTCCATCACTCCAGAGAACACAGTTCCACTGCTCCACTGCCCAATACTGGGGGGCTTTATACCCCTCTAGCCCACGCATGGCATTGAGCAGGTTTACCTTAGGCTCATGTGTGGCTGCTCCAGCGTCCCATTCTATTAATGCTTTTCTATGGAGATTATACAAGCTGTGTCAGCAGTGGGTGAGCCTTAAAGGGCCCATATCCTACACGCTTCTTGCAATTTTTTTTTCTCCTGAGATTCTCTGAGACATCTGTGTGGATTTACATACCAGCCATTTTACATCCATTCCACCTTCTTTTTATTCTTTACAATTAAACAGGCTGTTTTTGTTACTGTACCTTTAAGAGTAATATATGTAAATGAGCTCTCTTTTGATTGTGCTGTATTCAAAATGCAGTCCAGGCTAAAACCTCCTTAGTTCAGTGTGAATGGGTGGAGCTAAATTGCTAGAGGCTGAATAGTTAGATAAATGTAAATGTATAGTTTTTTGTGACATCACAAAAACAGTGAATTTGAAATGAATTTAAATGAATTATATGGACTGTACAGTATGTAAATCAAATCTATATCCAAATGTTTTATTTCAAAAAAAGAGAAAATTCAGTTCCCTGTGATATGGGCCCTTTAAAGTAACTGAATCTTCTGATTAGAAGGGCTATTTGGATACTTTTGGACACATAGTATATCAATTAAGCTAAGTGTGATCAAAATGTGGTCAAAGCTGATAATGTCTAGGTAATTCAGGGTAGATTTTGGGTCTTATTGAGCTTTTGCAACATCATGCCATTTGATTTGGCCAGAAAGTGACCATAGTCCCCCCACCTCTTCGCCCAAGGAGAGTACAAAAACAATTTCATACAACGTTGGCATATTAAAATTCTTTTTTTTTTTTTTAAGATTTTATTTCTGTAGTACTTTTATTCACAAAACATTATAAATAATGTAAAAGTATTTTTAAAGAGCCCAATTTGTCTCACTTATCTTTTTATTTGTATACTGATTTGTCCATTTGTCCACAAACACAGCATTTTGGCCCTCCAAGACATTTCTGAGGTAGAGACAAAAAGAAAGCCATATTCCAGAGTATTTCTCTATAATCACATTCCTACAGCAGTGATAGCGTGTAGTCAGCTTCAGAAAGCCTGTCCACATGTTTTAAACAGGAGGGAGACTAATAACTGTGTAGGACCATCATGAAAACAAGGAAAGCACTTCATATTGTAGTTTAGTCAGATCAGGCTGTCGTGCATGTAAACAGAACTACTCTCCGATCTACAGAACAGCACTGTTTACCAATCATGCTCTGTATTAACCCTCCGCAGGCCTTTTAGCTCACAGCTCCTACACAGTCCCTCTTATCTGAGGGGTTTGAGAATGAGCTGATGAGTGGAATCAGGTGTGATAGACACTATTTCAAACAGCAGGTGCACTTTTAATGATTTTTTTATATTTTAAGATTGTAGCAGGGGATTGTGTGTGTTTCTTTTTACTGTTATCATATAATTATCATTTTTTAATTTTTTATGTTTATTGATTTTATTAAGATATATGGTGAACGGGTGTGTGGATTTACGTTAAATATATCATTTTTATTTAAGTGTACATTTGATTACATCTTAACCATTTAATGCAGAAAATTAGAAAATTTGGTGGAATTCCCCTTTACGTTAAGACGCCACATACTTACAGTGTGCTGTAAACACAGTGTTAGTAAACGCTGCACAGGCTGAGGCTGTGGGGGAAGCAGGCGTTAGGGCCCTGCGGAGGAGCCCGGGAGGGTGTCTCTTTTTGTCCGTTGCAGCTCGTGCATTGATTGTGTCCATTGTGAGTTCGGAGCTCCACCATCTGTAATGTCCCATGTGGCTCGAGTCAATTAACGTCGCGCGCTTCCCTCAGGATTAAAAACGTTTAAAATCGCAATGAGAGAAAAACACGCACAGCGGTCCGATAAACACCGGGTTTGACCAGGCTGGACTTAGTTTAGCCCCGAACTTAGTCTGAGTCAGAACCTGCCGTCCCACCTTAAACGGTGGAACCACCTTAAACGGTCCACCTTAAATGGTGATGCAGAGCCAGAGTGTAAGTGCTGCGCCATTTAAGGTGGAGCGGTAGGTTCGGACAGAAGGCGGACTCCAGCCGGGTCCGTGTTCAGGAGGGATGCAGTAAAGCAGTAACTGATCAATCTTTATTATTTATTACTTATCAACCCATCATCACGCACGTGCGCATCATCTACAGTCACTCTCCAGAATAAGAGTGTGGTGTTTTCCCGCTGACTCACTGAACCTCTCTCTCCTCTCTCCTGTCTCTCTACACCTCCTCACGCGGCTCTCCGCTCCCGCAGCCCCGCGCCGCTCGCGCCTCTTTTTCCCGCTGCAGCAGCCGCGCGCGCAGCAACGGCGCGAGGAGGGAGGTGTGTGCGTGTGTGTGCGTGTGCATGTGTGTGCGTGTGTGTCTGTGTGTGGGTGTGCGTGTGCGTGTGTGTGAGTGTGTTTGTGTGTGCGCGCGCGCGCGCGCGTGTGTGTGTGTGTGTGTGTTTAGCGCTCTGACACACTCAGTGTTGTTTTTGGTCAGTTTTTGGTTGCTCAGGGCTGCAGGTGCGCGCGAGTGAAACTGACCGCACAGCAGCTTCTCTGGAGAGGAGTGAACAGAGTGAACAGAGAGACTGCTGTGATTTTTTTATTTCATTTTACAAAGTTTTAGTGTTTTTATGGAAGTTTAATCTTTTAAAAGCGCATATTTTTATTTTTGATTAATTTTTAAAAAACTGAGTTTACATTTTTTTGTAAAAAATCTACAGAAAGAACAGACGTTTTTTAAAGTGTGAAAAATTTACTTATTTGATATTTTATTATTTTTTATTGATCTTTTTTACTTTTATTTATTTTTTAGAGAAATCTAGCGCTGAAAATGCTGTAAATGTTGTAAAGGTCCTGCTTGTTTTTTGTATTTTTTTTAAACTGTGATTTTATTTTGATTTTTTTATTATTTGCACTGTTTCCCACAGTCTGATACTTTTATCTGCTTTTAAATATTTTAATCATTTTTATTTTTATTTTGTTATAAATCTCTGTACAGTCAGCGCTCCAGTTTTAAGGTTTATCTTATTTTTTGTTGTTTATCTACAGTAAAAGTCTCTCGCTGCTCTCTGTACAGACAGAGCAGCATTTTAAGATTTTTGTTATTATTTTTATTATTTATTTTCTGATTTAAGTCTCTGTACAGTCAGTCAGAGCCGCGCGCTCTCTGCAGCTGTCAGAGCTCGCGCCCTCCTCCTCTCAGTGCGCACGCGCGGAGCTGCGCGGGGAGGGAAATTTAAAAAACGGTTTTTTGGAGCTCGAGCGCCTCGAGACCGACCGGAGAGCAGCGGCGGAGCGAAACGGAGAGCAGCGGCGGAGCCAGAGCGGGTAAGAGAGACACACAGGGGGCTTTTTATACCGAGTACGAGCTTTACTGAGGGGATACTGAGGAAGACGCGGGTCAGCGGACCCGTTTAGCCCGGGTTACGTCCGGTTCTGGTTCGGGTTCGGGTTAGCTTAGCTCGCTGTGCTAAAGCTCAGCCACATCCACCTGCCTTCATCCCACACGGGCACGGCGAGACCGAGCCGGGTTCATATATGGAGACGATGCTCCTCTGTTACTCGGCCACTGTACTGCGTAACCCGGTCTAATTTAATTTGGACACAACCTGAGTTTTTCAAACAGAGCCTGAGTTTATCACGCTCACATTTAGGCTGCGTCCACAACCGCACTGGTCTGATAAACCCTTAAAATGCTTCTTCAAGGGTTCTTTTGTAAAGAGAATGATTGAGTTCTAGATAACAATTTCATGCTTAAATGGTTCTTTGCATGGTGAAATGGTTCTTTACAGTGATTGAGCATTGAGAATGTGTTGTATGTGGTTCTATATAGGATCCTTTTTGAAAAAAGGGTTCTGCTGTTGCATACAATCTTGACGTCATCACAACAGCAGAACCCTTTTTGGTGCTAGGTTACACAGAACCGTTTCACCATGCAAAGAGCCATTTAAGCACGGAATGATTCTGTATAGCAGTCATGTATCTGAATAGAACCATTCTCTTTACTGAAGAACCCATTTTTTAACAGAACCGTCTTCTTTAAGTGTGTATGTATATTACACCAATGAATGGACTTATTATGATGGTGTATTAGTTTTGACACACAATGTAATGCGGTAGTATGTGGATTAGGACACAGCCTTAGCCTGCTGATCACAGAGGACCAACATTAACATTACTGATTTAACAAAACAACAGAAAATCTGAACCTGGTTGTGAGTAAAAGCGAATGAAATTAAATGGTTATTATTAGATGCTCATTCGAGATGTAACATTATAGAATTTCATCACCAACCTGAACAAAATCTGTAGCATTTTTCCTTATTATACTAAATATAGTGATATTCTGTGCAAATTAAATGTTACATTAACTTAAGTCAGTTAAGTACTTACACAAAGTGATTACGCTGATGTAACGTATTCATGTGGAGCCTGTGTACACAACTGAGTCAAGTGCATGTAAAACAACCTTTAAGCAAGTGTAGCTGTCGGGTGTGAATGTGTTAATAACATAGAGCCTCTCAATGTCTCAAACTTCCTTTATTCACTAAACAATGTGTCAAATAACTGACAAATAACTTTGTCAGTATTTTCCATTATGAACAGAACCAGACAGTCAGCTCTGAGAAGCATTTCTCCTCTATACATTCAGGATATTAGTTCTCTGCACTTCGTTGGCTGCAGTTTCCTAATAGACTATCATTATGAAGAGAATGAGCTGTTCAGACTTTAAAATGGGGTTTAATAAATTAATGTAATACCTTTTCCAGTTGTTTTGTCACATACTCAGATTACAGCACACTACAGTTTGAGTATGTGTAGCACAGCTCCTTAAAAAAGAGGTCTGTGTGTTTGTAATGAGGATGAATGTCGTATTAAAGTCTGAGGTTTGTGTATTTCTCCTGTAGGAAATGATAGAAGGGGCTTTTCCACACAGGATGGCAGGACTGATGGAAAACTCAGCTCAGGACTACAGGTACAGTTCACTGTACTACCGCATTTACATTTCCTTTAGTTATTTATTGACTTATTAATTTATTTATTCATTCTTTTTTGTTTCGTCTTCTGTAAACTGATGAGGGGATAATTCGCTGCATATGCTTGCTTACATTTTTTCCTTAATTTTTGGGCTTTTCAAAATGTTTTAACGTATAAACTGGTGGGTTTGAGAGGCTGATTTCTTTTTTTTACTGTTGCACAGATCAGAGTCTAGATTATCTAAACTGGTGGAGGGGTTTTCAGTGTGAATTCTCACTGTACTATTTAAAAATAATGTGCGAAGGTGGTTTTGGGAGACCTACACACTTAAGAGATTGTTCTTCACTCAACATTCAAAGAACGCTTTGCATGATTAAAGAGTTCTTTTCATTATAAAAGTGTTTCTCAGATTCATAGAGAATTTGTTCTAGGTGGTTCTATATAGAACCTTTTTGAAAATGGTTCTATATGGCACCAAAAAAGGGTTAATCTATTGTTAAAAGCTTGACATTATAACAATAGAAGAACACTTTTTGGTGCTACATAGAACCATTTTTAAAAAGGTTCTATACAGAACCATCTACAGCACATTCTAAGGAACCCTTTCATGATGCAAAGAACCCTTTAATCATGCAAAGTGTAAGTGAACCCTAGAAGAACCATCACTTTTAAGTCTGTAGCACAGAATGACAGCATTTAGAAGAGCACATCATCATATTAACACTGACCCATTTTAAGTGTATTTTAAACAGCTTTTGCAAGTTTTATGGATTAAAAACAGATTAAAAAACAAATTATTTGAGTTTTTTTATCTTTAAGAAGTTATATTTACGTTTTAGGACGTCGACTGTAAACGACTGTTCATGTGAGAGGCAGAGTGTTTTGTGCAGACATTAAGGAGTGGGAGAATGCGCCGTGTTTGGCTCTGAATGGAGCTGTCAGAAAGCATCAGCTCTGTTTACGCGCCTGCTGGGGGCGCGCAGCCCCTCTCTGTCAGGAGAGAGGAGAGAGGAGGAGGGGGGCAAACTGAGAATCTCCCTCCATCCATCCTCTCCAACCCCCCACCCCCCCCCACACACACTTTTTCCGTGGATACTTAACGGTTTGCAACACTGAGCAAATCATTTTTTCTCTCTCTCTCCTTCCATTCTCTCTCTCTCCTTCCATCCAACTTCACTCTAATTACCGTGAACAAATCTTACAATACGCAGCTGGGTTTACAATGAGACGTCAGAAATGCAAATAAGTACCAGGATGTGGCCCCCCCACCCCCCCCAGTGCCCATCCTTGATTATCCCAAATTCGTGTTATTGTTATGAATTATTTAAGAATCACAAAAGACATCCTCGACCCTCCGGACCTCCACAATTAGTACAGCACAATGAAGAGTGTTTTATAAATCACTATATTCATTATCCTCATTATATTTGTGCATCATCAGAAACTGGACCATGAACGGAACCGTTTGATCCGGGTGTGGCAGAACGCAGGCGAATGTAGCGCATTGTTGCTGGGTTTTGGGACGAGGCGAATTAAGATTTCATTACAGGTTAAAAATCTGGATCGTCAGGGTTACAGTTTTTGCTGTCGCTCACTGTGAACAGCAGGTCGCAGCAACAAGTGTGACTGTGGTGTAACATCAGATTGGCTGTCGTTTTCGTGCCAGAATCAGCCCCAGAACATCTGCTGGATCCACATGGTATTTTGAGGATTGGTGCCAAGCATTTAGTACGTTAAAGACCAGAACGCTTTATGGATGTCTTCACTGGACAGAGCGGGTTTACATGTATAGCAGGCAACTGAGTTTTAATGGGAGAATCAAACCTACCCGTTCTGTTTCGGGCTTTAGGCTTTAGTTTCAATTTTAGTTTTAATTAATTTAATATATTTATAGCTATGCATTTGTCTGGAATTTGACTTAACAGTTTGTTCAGCAACACTGATAAAATTTCTTTTAGGCTTGAATTACTGACGTTATTACAATTTTACCAATATGTAACATTTGGACAAACATTTTATTATAAATTTTTCATCATATTTTTCACAAACAAGAGTTGGTCCTAATGAGGACTAACGACTGCGATGACAATCTGTTAGAAATCTGTTACAGTCGTACGAACGGTACAACGTTCCCGAGGCGTTCGCCAGGTGTCATTCAGCTGGGAGGCTTTTGTGTAATGACACTTACAGGGTGGAAACAGCTGTTAAACTACGCGTGTAAGTGCGGTTGCAAGGTGTCTTCTTTTTGCGGTTCAGGGCAGGAAATCCTACTTCAAAGCTCAGAGGAATAAAGGATAAGTTGCCTGGGCGGTGTAAAGTTTCACTTGAGCGAGCGCATGTTCTTCAAGGGTTCTTTAGTAAAGGCAATAGTTGCATGCAGAACCATGACAGCTTAATTCTGAGCTCAATGTATTTTATTTTAACTATTATTTTTTTATTATTCAGAGGTGACAAAACTCATATTCCAGCAGAAGTATTGTTACTTCAGTGAAATAATGACTGTGATGAAAGTAAAAGTATCGTAGATAGAAGTACAAAAGTTGCAGCTTAAAAAACTACTTAAGTACTGTGCAACTTAAAGAACATTAGGTTATCCAGCATCTAGAATAGGAACTGAAGTTTGATTAACAGTGTGACCAATAGCACAGCAGCACAGATGTCAGTACAAATGTAATATAATGAAATTAAACATGAAAAATTATGTCTGCATGTGACAAAAAGGTTAACAGAATGAAAAAGTAGTTTCCTCTACTATTTTACTTGAGTATCATTTGAAAATACTCCAAAATATTTACTAAATTACATGTAACAGTAAATTGATCTACTATTATTATGATTATTGAGTATAATGTCCATGATCAATAACCTATTTTTATATAGTGGTGCTATATAGAGGTTATAGATACACTCTTAAAAAAGACGGTGCTTCAAGGGTTATTTAGTAAAGAAAATGGTTCTATGTAGAACTATGAATACTGAAAGAACCCTTTGCATGATGAAAGGGTTCTTTGCATCATAAAAAGGTTCTTGGAAATTGATGGAAAATGTGCATGCATGTGCTATAAATGGTTCTATATAGAGCCTTTTTGAAAATGGTTCTATGTAGCACCCCAAAAGGGTTCTTCTGTTGTTACAAGTTTGACATTGTAATAATAGAAGAACACTTTGGGTGCTTTCCATCAATCTGAGCAACAATTTCATAATGCAAAGAACCCAATCATGCAAAGGGTTCTTTGAGGTTTCCTCGTTCTATATAGAACCATTTCCTTTACTAAAGAACCCTTGAATCACCATCTTTTTAAGAGTGTAGTTCTATAAAGCACCAAAAAGCCTTTGTTGTTGCTAAGTCAGAACCTTTGGTACTATACAGAACCCTTTTTTGGCTAAAGTGTGGAGCCCAAGGCCGTGTCCCCGGTCTCCCCTCTCCAATGATGTAATTTATTCAGGTGACAGACTGAGAGTGCTCCTTCTACTACCCCCCCTAAACTACCCCCTCAGGCACTGTCTACTGCCCTGTGTGCAGGGGGAGGGGGCAGAAGGCAGGGTTCGGGTGGAAAGGGACAGGGAAACAGATGGCATCCTATTTGTCCGAGTTGTGTGAGGCCTGTCATTCCAGCAGATTAATGCAAGGGGTTGGTTAAAAAAAAAAACGGTAGAGACAATCAAGGAAGGGTCTGGAGGAGGGGAGGAGGGGCGGGGGGGAAAACAATGGTGCCACGTGCCGGGCTGCAGATTTGTCGTTTGGGACACAATAGGTGATCATTTTTCAATAGGGCTGGACCAACTGTTGCAGACAACGTGTGCCCCATAACCATGTTTCAAATGATCTCACGCGTTGTTTACATACGATTCAGCCAATCGCGGAGAGGCAGGCCGTGGTCACCTGACTGCAGTTAGAGATTTTGAGTGTGGGGGGGTGGAGGGGTACCACAGTGTCCCCCGACCCACAAAATAACCGAAAAAGTGAGGGTTGTCATAGCGACCCCAATTATTGGGCTGAATGGTGAGTGAGTGCAGGGACGTCTGGAGAGGATTCAAGAGCCTCTCCTCTCTTTATTCTCTCTCTCCACTCTTCTCCTCTCTGAAGTGCATTACTTCCCTCATTCCATATTACTTTATTTTTTTAATTACACAGTGTAGGACTGATGGAAAGAGCTCTGTTTTGATGTTCTCTGCCACAATGGAGGTATTCTTCCAGTTGTTTAATAAGGGTGATATTACTAAACATTTCAAATAACGTCAATTTCATGATGAAAGCTTTTAGTTTATGTTTATTTTGTCGGGGAACATTACTCTGAAGAGACAAAAGAGTTAGCTGACTGGCTAATTTACATCTGATAACAGGCCTTTTCTACCAGCAGCTGTTTTAATCCCGGCTGATTTGAAAGTGTCAGTTGGTCTAAGCGGCGCTGTGTTCTGTCTCCGAAGGCTGTTGACCACAGACCCCTCCCAGCTGAATAAAGATGAGCTCCCCAGTGACCTCCAGTCTCTGTCCTGGCTGACTTCAGTGGACGTTCCCCGGCTACAGCAGCTCGGCCCGGGACGACCCGACTTCAACGTCTCCGCTCAGAACAGCCTGCTGGAGCAGCAGACAGGTCAGAGGAAACACTAAGAGAGGAATCACTCCTTCAGAGCCGTTGTTTAGAATATAGAATATTTATCTCCAATATTTTTTTACAGGTGATTTAATGTGTATTGATAAATCAACATAGTTTTAAAGTGTAATTCTAAAGTTAACACCATTATAAATAATACTATATATATATATATATATATATATATATATATATATATATATATATATATATATGAGACTTATTTTCAGATCAGAAAGTTATTTTAGGATAAAATAATACAGAATATAATATCATGATTTTAAATTCTGATTAAAAACCTACAGCCCAGATGAATAATATGACGGTAGCAGGAGGAGCAGCTTCCATGATCCATCTGCAGAGCAACATGCAGCACAGCCCGCTGGGAATGAACAGCGTAAGTAACACCCAGCGACCTGACGGATATCGAACATGCTTTTAAAGGAACACTCTAGCATTTTTCAATCTAATCTCTATCTGTGCATCAGTATCCAACTGTTGATCATCTCGGACAATAATATGGACGATTTCCTTTTACGGAAACGAACATAAACCTGGAACTCACCGACAACTGCGCACTGACTTCTATTATAGGTGTTTTTCAAGTCAGTGGGTTTTCTGTTCTTTTGGGAATTACTGTCCATGATCCATGACTGTATACTGCAGATATGCCAGATAGAGATTAAGCACAAAATGTTGGAGTGTCAGTGTGCTTTGGGGTTCAGATTCATACCTGTGCTAATGTGAGTGCTGTGTTGTGTTTCCCAGATGCCTCAGTTCTCTCCTGGGTTCCCTTGTCCTGCCTCCGTTTACCAGGCCTCCTCTCAGCAGGTGCTGACCTTTTCCCAGGCCAACCAGCAGGTACTTGAGATAATTAAACAATTGTTTACGCGCACCGATACCAGACCAGTCCTTGAGGGAAATGGCTCTGCGTGGTTTCTCATCCTTGATTCTGGAGATGTAAGCAAGGCTGGGTTTGATTTCATCTATTTCATCTATCTGATAAACCTGATCAAGCCTCTAGGTCTTCAGGAACACCTGAATATTGGAGTCAATGGCTCATGTTTATCTTAAAATCAGTGCTTTTAAAAGCTATGTAAAATGCCTTCTTACTCTTTGACTAACGTAGACCAATTTCGGGAGATCATTATCATTAGAGATAATTAGGTGTTGAGAAGATAAACTATGTATAGTGGCGTACTGCATCATAACTATGAGTTATGCTAATTATTAAGCCCTACGTTTTGCCACTTGTGAGCTATTGTACATCATACTTTGAGAAAGGGTGGTTTAATGTTAGAACTGGTAGATTAACCAATTAACAGTTAAACTGAGCACAGAAAATATAAATTATAACACAGTCTGTCTCTGTGCTGTCTCTAGTGTTCCCCTGGAGGACTGTACGGTGGTTATAACAGCCAGGGCCTGTTCCCCCAGCAGCGCATCCCTCCACACAGCCAAGACCTGCAACCCAAATCCTTCCCCAAACCCATTTACTCCTACAGGTAAGCGGCTGTCTCTAGGAGAACAAGGCCTAAAATTTCATATCTGATCTAGATTAGGAATATCTTTCACATAGCAGTGTCTAATGTAAAGTCTACCATCTCTTCATTTTCCCAAGTTGCCTGATTGCTATGGCTCTGAAGAACAGTAAGACAGGCAGCCTCCCAGTCAGTGAAATCTACAGCTTCATGAAAGAGCACTTTCCATACTTTAAGGTAAGCTTTTAAAGTTCAAGAGCAGGTGAAAGCAGTTTTTTTTGGACTTTCCTTCATCTAGCACACCTGACTGAGCGCATAATAACTAACAATAATAATAATTACTCCATATGTTTTGGGTCAGATGTGCTAGTGTGGAAAACACAAACATTTGCAGGGCATGGATTATTTAGCACTGACTTTAGGAACCACTGTGTTATAGGCTTTCAGAAGAAGGCTTGTACAAGCATTATCTCTTATATGGTGGTGTTGTCTCGCAACAGAGAAAAATCCTCTTTAAAAATGACCAGTATTCTTCAAAAACTAGCAAAAAAAAGTCAAAAATCTAAAATTTTTGTATCAGATGACAAACACTTGACAAACATGTACTTTTCTGTGTGACTGTGATTCTCAGACAGCACCAGACGGCTGGAAGAACTCAGTGCGACACAATCTGTCTCTAAATAAATGCTTTGAAAAAGTGGAGAACAAGATGAGCGGCTCATCACGGAAGGGCTGCCTGTGGGCGCTGAACCCCGCCAAGATCGACAAGATGGAGGAGGAGATGCAGAAATGGAAACGCAAAGATCTGCCGGCCATCCGCCGCAGCATGGCCAATCCAGGTCAGTGTCTCAACTCCATACTGACAGGTTTTCAGAGATGATGATTTTGTTTATTTTTTACAACTAACCAAAATATAGTGAAAAACTAGATATTTTTGCTAATAAAACATATAACTAGTCTGTGTATAAGGTTAAGCGTTGTTCTAAACACATTATTCAGGTGCTACATTCTTGTAAGGCACTGGGTAGTGAAGAGCAAAGCAGATGCCGTACAAAATGCAAAATCACAGAAATTGTTGGACTTTGAAATATGGTTCAGTGGTACGGTGAAAAATGGTATGATTCCATGGTGGTATATGGTGTTTACTTTCCACAGTACGACTTCAAATATGATACGCCACTTAAAACTGCAAGTATATGTGGCATTGTTGTGTTAAACTGTAAAAAGCATTACTGACTACAAAGCAGGTGACGAGTCAACTTTTAGTTGAAAAATTGGCTTTTTGGTTGTCTTAGTAAATTCTTAGTTAAAGGCAGCACATTTTTTTCTCCATTACAAAAAACTTCTTTCTGACTTCACCCCATAACGTTCTTTAGACGAACTGGACAAGCTGATCACAGACCGGCCGGAGAGCTGTCGGCGAAAACCGCTGGACCCCGGAATGACCCACTTACCCAGCTGTCCTCCGGGGGCTGCTCTGTCCGTTCCAGCGCAGCCTCAGCTTCAGCCACAGCCGGTGGTGACGCTGTCCCTACCGTGCCTGCCCATTCACCAGCAGCTCCAGCTGCATCTCCACAGTCAGTCCCGACTGGCCCCAGCGTCTCCAGCCCCGGCCCAGACTCCTCCACTCCACACGGTACCGGACCTCGCCAACAGCAGCCCCCTGCACCAGCACCCGCCGGCCAAACAACAGCCCCCTGACGTCTACACCGTCCACAGTGATGCCCACTCGGAGGTGGACACGCTGGACCCAAGCATCATGGATTTCGCTTTGCAAGGTTTGTGTTTCATAAATTTTAAATCTAGTTTTCGGCATTAAATTTGTAAATATTACTTGTTCTTGGATTTTATTTCTTATCATATTATCTAACACAATATTTTAATATATTCTGGGGGTCATTCATTCATTGTAAATGAAAATCACTTACAGCATCTTTAAATACACCTTTTCTGCCTGTAGGAAACTTGTGGGAAGAGATGAAGGACGACAGCTTTAACCTGGATGCTCTAGGAACGTTCAGTAACTCTCCTCTCCGTTTGTCTGACTGCGACCTGGAGGCGGTGAACCTGACGCCAGTGTCCAGTGCAGCGGGACTGCCCTACTCAGACCTGCAGGTGACCAGCGTGTACACCTCCTACAGCACACTGGACGGCCTCTCAAACCAGTACATCAGCGCACAGGGCACCAGCAAACCCATCATCCTGCATTAAAACACCTACTGAACAGGAAACAGGCAAAACAAGCTTTACTCCAAAGGACCAGCAATGAAGACAACTGTGGCTTTTCATTTTTATTTCCGTTTAATTAAGACTGTGGCTTGTATGGTGAGCCAGATATTAAGGCAGCTGAAAAGCACAGACAAAGTATTTTTCTGGACGGCTTTAGCTGAATGAACTCTACACTACTACGATGAGGCATCATGGTGATAACACATCTTTGCCAGTAAGATGGAGCCTCTGGAAAGCTGATTTTTAAAACTGAAACACAAAGAAACATCTGCCACCATCAGTTTCTGTTACTGAAAAAAAAAAGAAAAGATAAATGGAAAAATTCTGGAAAAGAAGGGAAAACAGTCGGACTAATGGCTATGTACATATGGGTGCTCCAAACAGAACTCATCAGAACAATTTTTGCTGAAATACATTTTGTTTGCAGCACTTTTTTTGTTTGCGCAAATAACAGTATTTTTCCCATTAATGATGCAAGTGTGTACGTATTACAGGCAGCTCACAAAATTCCCTGCGTAGTGCGAGCAAATCCTACTCAAGCCAATTACTGTGGGGAAAAAAAGGGAAAACGTGGTGCATGGACACCTTGAGATGTTCCGCAAAGATTTGAGCCTTTAAACAAGCTGTTTTAAAAGAGGGATCGACTGTTCTTATTTTTCACTGTTTGCATGTTTATGTTGTAACTGTAGTTTGTGTGTCTTTTGTTGTATTGTGATAGATGGCAAATGTACTTTGTAATTATTGTTTATTATTTATATTTATAAAAGAGTTGGAGTGGGGCACAAATGATTTTTTTAAAATGTATACATCAAAATATTTCCAAAATGACTGCTAGCAGTGAAAACTCATGGCAAACTCTTATGTGGAAAAGGGGAATTCCACTGATTTTTCAAATTTTCTGCATTGTTAAATAGTTAAGATGTAAACAGAGTCATTCGGAGTGGTTTGATGTGGTTCTAGAGAAACTTACAGAGTCAGAATTGTTCACAGTGGTGGTGATAGGAACCGGACGTCCACCTCTAAAAGCCCTCTCACAGAAAGGTACTACATGAAATGGTTATGAATTCACTGCCTGATGACTGAGACACTGTTTTATGACAGTTTTGAGGCCTAAAATGTATTTTTAAATACCTTCATGGTAAAGAGGTACATGCAGGGCATTGTGAGCCCACAAAGAAAGCTTATATTTTCAGATTCCCCACTATTTTTCCGTCATCAACACTCCAGATAAAGCTCAGAAGACTCGTGTAGGTTCACTGGTGGTTTTGGATAGTAAATAAAACAGCTATATTTGTGTTGTAGTCATGGCGATCCCTGGTTCCTATCACCACCACTGTAAAGAAATCTGAGTTTCTACAATCAACCAACACTCTGAATCACTCTGTTTACATCTCAGCCACTTTGAATCCTCCTTCAAAGTGCTGATCGTGAATCACTGCAACTGGCAGGCCAGTTTCTAAATGCCCCAAAATCTTTAAAAACTTGTGCTTGCCAAGTTCTCTGAGCTTTGGCGGAGTTTAATGTGTTTTCACTGATTCCTAAAGATGTTTTTAAGAACAGAGACCCGCAACAGTACTGACGACACTGATGTCAACCTACATCACAAAGACAGCCACAATAACCGACAGCAGCTACTGCTATACCTTTCAGAAATACCTCAGGGCCCGAGGCACCACCCATTTCGAGGAACGTGCACTCACTGAGTGTACATTTCTAACACCAACACAATAAAAACACTGGATGAAATAACCACAGGTGTCCTTGTGAGAGTGTGCGAGTTGACAAAAATATTTTTATTCAAGCCATACATACTGGTGGCCATGATCTTTTAAAACATCCTAATCATTTACAGCAAAAATCAGTCAGGCACTTCATGATGAGACATCTGTTCTAATATGCTGTTCTAACATAGCTAACTGAAAAAATGACATTTTAAACACTATTAACTATTTGTAGCACCAAAACGGTTTCCTTGCAAGCTAAACAAGTGGATCTGATTGTTCAACCCAAATTATTATCGAGTCATGTTTAGTTACTGCGATATCTGCCATCTGTGTAAACTCTAATTTTGTGAGCATTAAAAAAGAAGCACTACTCATCTGAACACAACATCTCCCAGCATTAATCCAGGATACTCACAAGCTAAAAAGCATATACTGGCATTATTTTTGTTTTTGTAAGCAAAACCTGAGGAAGTTATACTGCTCAAACATACACACGTACAACCCTATGGCAGTCTGTCAAAGGTCCAGTGGCTATTGTTAGTTTATAATACTGATGTGTAATTAAATAAAAGCTGTATACATAAAATCATTTGGCAGGTCTGATACAAGTGAGCAGTTTCCCTGAAAGAACACTAATGCTGGTCCTACTCTATGTCAACGTCTTACAAGAATAAAAAGTGATCAAATTTGCTAATACAGCTAACGAACTGAACTTAGTAGCCACTAATTGTCTCATCCACAAATGAGTTCTTTACAGAACGCTCGTAAAAGTCTCACTTGGAGCACACAACGCAGTTTGTATCATTAATATCTAGAATGAGTTATTTATTCAACCTAATGAGAAACTGTAGAACAGACTCAGTTTATATCACAATACCTACATTTAGAGTCGGTTATTCATTCAGCCTAATGAGAAACTGTAGAACAGACTCAGTTTATATCACAATACCTACATTTAGAGTCGGTTATTCATTCAGCCTAATGAGAAACTGTAGAACAGACTCAGTTTATATCACAATACCTACATTTAGAGTCGGTTATTCATTCAGCCTAATGAGAAACTGTAGAACAGACTCAGTTTATATCACAATACCTACATTTAGAGTCGGTTATTCATTCAGCCTAATGAGAAACTGTAGAACAGACTCAGTTTATATCACAATACCTACATTTAGAGTCGGTTATTCATTCAGCCTAATGAGAAACTGTAGAACAGACTCGGGTTTTCCTCAGAGTTGTGTTCTACAGTTTCTTTGTCGGTTGAAAAGGATTTTGAACTCATTTGTGGATGGAGCACAACTAGGACAATTGGCCTGATGTCTGGTAATGCTATTTTGTAGTAGTTCAGTTTCATTTACTGTTGGCATCATTAGCATTTCAGATTAACTTAATCCTTTAAAATTACACCAATCAAAGCTATTTGGTTTTCAGTCTTCAACTCATGACAGTACATTCATGTGTCGGAAAAAGGCAGCTCCATCCAGACTCGGCATGTCAGACTCCAGTTCTGAAGGACAGTACTTAGTGTTATTGTCTAACTGCACTAATGACAGTAAATCAAGGGCTTGGAAATGAGCTTATAAGCTGATTTAGTTGTGTCAGGTTTAGTAGTGCTGCAGGACTGGAGTCGGACATCCTTTGATCTGGACCTTGACATATTATATGGACTGAAATAACAAAAAACGCAAGGCTTAAATGTGAAATGCAGGCAATGCTTACAGCATAAAGTGGTTGTACTTATTTGTGCGGTGATTTGTTTTTAAGGCAACAAGTGTGAAGGATATGAAAATTAACATCTTGAAGACAAAACGTACAAGTGCTCAGACATTGGTGCAGAGGAATAACCACCAAAAAAACAAAAACCCCACATTGAACATATCATGAAAGGTGAAATGCTCAATATCTGAACACAGAACTGAAAGAAATGTACTCGGAGTGACTTGGCATCTTCGTGTGTGCGTGTTTAGATCCTGAGATACAGACAAAAGAAAAGTCCTCTTTTATAGTCCATCTTATATTGTCTTACCTGCTTCTGACCCAGCTAAAAGTGGACAGCCTGCTTATGAATCCTCACCATCCACTCAAGGCTCGACTGGCATGTTTATTGTGCGTGGTGTTTAATCTGTATCTCCGGTGGTCTGTGTTTAGCTAGTGCTGGTGTTGTTGTCCATAGTGGCCAACAGGTGGGACACTTTGGCTCTCTGGGACGGAGTGATGTTCTGGGCCATGTGCATGATGCAGTCCATAGCGACCTCCGGATTGGCCTCCAGCAGGCTGTGAAAACACAACATACATTTGTTAATAAGTATCTAAATAGCGATTATTTCTATCTGTCAATCTCCTGGCTTTGTCTTCGACCAAATGACCAATGTAACTAGACTATTCCTGTTTCAAACCTGAACTTATTCACATTTATTTCTCTTGAAGAGTAACACAGCAATCATTGATTCAAAAGAGCTATTATATTAGTAAATATGTGAACATAAATATGCTGTACATGCATTTTAAAGATTAGTGTTTCCTCAAATACGGCAGCAAATATTAAGATATTCAAAGTGTAAATAAACACATTTTACAATTACTATTTATTTGCTGAATTTAACATGTTGAGGAAAAACACATTTTTGCTGAAGGAAAAGTTCTGGCAAATTTTATATTTTTCCAATATGTTAAACTCAGCAAATAAACAGAAATTGTGCAATAAAATAATAAGTTAAAAATGAAAATAAATAATTAAACAAACGACTAAATAATGACTGCTGCCATCATTCAAAGTTCTGCCTGTACAACAAGTGATTTCTTCCTTTATGGTGCCGTATTAGAAACCACATTGACCCCAATGCTTCCTGTGCCCACGGCTTTGTAGCAGGTCCATCAATAAAGAAACAACGGGATGTGAATGGAGTATTAAAGAGTAACTCCTCTACTTTTTCTACATTTCTGCATAATTAAATGGCCAGTGTCATTCAGAGTGGTTTGGTGTGAAATGCTTTGTTCTGGAGAGACTCAGAGTTTTTCACAGTGGTGGTGATAGGAACCAGACGTCCACCTCTAAAAGCTCCCTCACAGAAAGTTACTACATGAAATTGTTATGAATTCACTGCCTGATGACTGAGAGACTGTTTTATGATAGAAAAGGTTTCGGATTTAAAAATTTATTCATGGTGGAGGGATACATGCAGTGCATTATATGGCAAAATAGTCCCTAAAGAAAACCTATTTTTTCAGATTTTCCACTATTTTACCATCATCAACATTACATATAAACTCAAAGACTCATGTGGGTTCACTGGTTGTTTTAGATAGTAAATAATATGGCTATATTTGTGTTGTAGTCATGGCGACCCCTGGTTCCTATCACCACCACTGTAAACCATTTCATACCAAACCACTCTGAATGACTCTGTTTACTATTATATTATGAAGAATTTTTTTTAAAATCAGTGTTTAACAGTTTCTGCCTAAGGGCTAAAAGTAAGTTGTATGTCTGAATATGTGTGAAAGTGTTCACCTTTGCGTGTCCCTGAGGTGAAGCTGTTTTAGAGTATTTACCTGCGTATGTGTTTGAGAGCGTAGTCCCTCTTGAGGTATTTGATGTTCTCTCTGATGGCTGATCGTGTGCCGTCCTGCTGTGACAGATGTTTCTCCAGCCACTCCACCACAGCTTTATTATTGTCCCACAAATAGGCCTGGAAGAAAAACAACACTTTTAGCCCTTTAGGCCTAGAACACTTGTGCCATATAGCTTTAGATTACCTACTTCTAAATCCTTAAACCAGAGACTTACTGGCAAAATAAATAAAAAGCAAAAAAGCAAGAATCCTCTACTCACTTTGACGGTCCCCTCAGTCTCGATGAACCAGCGGCGCAGCATGGACTGGATGTGACCGTTGCTCAGGTCCTTGTTGGCCTGCACAATCTCACCCTTCGCCACCTCCTCCAGCAGGAGGCGCCGCAGACGCCAGTAGAAAAACAACCGAGCGTTCTTCCAGTCCAGGATATCCTGCAAACACATGACCAGTGTCTAAGATCAGTACATATAAAATAAGCGTAACTGCAGATGAGACGATTAACTGATTAAGCGTCAAACTAAGCTCAGAACTGATATTCTGTGATGCCTTTAAATGAGCCCAGATGAGAATCACGGTTCTGTATGCAGAAAACATGCACATACCTCCACTAACACTAATAAAATTAAACCTTAACATGGCAATGCTTGTTTGGTTTTACACAGATGGTCAGACGTTGGTGTTTACTGTAAAGAATTTGTTCATCGTGTCTGAAGATAAGGTAAGCGATAATTCATGTGTTAATTGGTTTTTACCGTGATGACGCCCTTCTCCTGCATTCTCCCAGGCGTGTCATGGAGGTCGACAAACTGCACAGCTACTTGGTGGTAGATGGGCAGAAGGAACTCTTCTCTGGCTCTCAGCTGAGCATCCAGCTCACTGCGCTCGTCCTCCGACAGCTCCACAGAGTCTGGCCACAGAGTCAGCATCAGTGCAGAATAAATACAGAGAATAAACATAGAAACAACACCAGAGATCAGCTGACTAACTAAACTGGGCAGTGCTGTGGCCCTCCAGCCCTGGACCTGGTCCATTATATCAACAGTATCAAATCAATACTTCATTAGTTCCATTTTGTAATGCGTTTGTGACTATTTTACACTAAATGCCAGTTGTGTGAACATTTCATGATGAATGGACTGGAGACGAGCAGAAATGAAAAATTCTCGACGGAACTAGAATTTAGGACACATTTGGCCAACAACCGAAACCAAAAACTCAAATTGGAAACCAAAAGAAATCATTTTTCATATAATAGTATATAGAATTTGCTGTTTCATTTGATGCTTTTGAATTCTAATAATGCTGACAATGTAAAGGCGAAAATCGCTGTGTTAGGAAAGAGAATGAAGAGAACTAGAGGACTATTTTAATTTTAATAAGCTTGCTAAAGAATACTAAATATTAAAAGGTTGAATTCCAGAACGCAAAACGTGTATGTGGTTTCTGAGCTCCTGTTTAGCAGTCTTAAAGCTTAGAGAAGAAACTTTGTAGAGAAGAAACAGCCATGAACCCACACCAGAAGGATTTAATGAAGGCATGTTTTAAGTAATAACTTCCAAAACTAGAGGTAAAAAAGTGATTACCAAAAGATATGGAGTTACTCAATATAGTATTATTTATGTGATTTCCATTAAGTACTATGATTAAATCGGTTAATGCTGAAAAGCATGTAAAATAAACAATGTTTTTTTAAGGATTTTAGAGATAAGATAGCCGTGTTACGATAGTGACAAAATATTAATATTAATTAATTAATTAATATTAATATGATCCCAGTTACCTAGTTACAGGTGTTACAGTCAGTTCATAAACAAAAACAGCCATAAGGTGAGAACTCACTGAGCTGTTCGGCCAGTCGAGCGTACTTAGGGTCGATCCTGCGCATCGTCTTCAGCAGATCCTTCTTTCTGAACTTAATCTCCACCGTTCCTTCTGCCTCTAATACACCACCCCTACACAGAGAGCGGGAGAGAGAAATGTACATACATAATGAACAGTGAAGACAGAAAAAGATGGTGATTAAGAGGAAAAACATGCAGAATATTAGATTTAATCTGAGCACATTTACATCTAAAAAGAAGTATCTGCACTGAAGTCAAGGCCAGGCTTAAGGGCAAAAGCAAGAGAAACAAGCAGGAACTGAAATTTCTGTGCATCCCCTCTATGTTACACTGCTTCTATTATAGACAATTAAAGAGGAATTAGGGAGAGAGAGATAAAGTCAGTGTCTCCTCCTGTATGTATATCTTCATAAAGCCCTGCGTGTTGAAATAGTAGTGGCTTTAAGTGAATGTGCTGCACTGAACCCACCTGCTCTCTCTGTCAGCGTAGAGCTCCATGTACTGAGGGTTGATAGTGGGGTCGATCACTACCCATGATCCTCCTCTCAGCTCAGCGTGGGGAGGGATGTAGACCAGGACAGGCTGACGGAACTCTCTCAGAGCATCCACAATATACGCGCCGAACTTCAGCACCTGGTCATACATGTCTAAAACACAAACTCAGCACATTAACACCACATTTCTCATCAATGTTAATACAAAACGTGCTGTACAGAAAAGAAGTAATAGGTAAGGCCCTTTAAAATCAAAGTGTCAGTAAACAGCTCAAGTGATGAGTTTTCGTTCCTCTCATGTTACTGTCTTTGTTCACCAGGTGCTTCAAAATCAAGTTAGTAATGTCAGTTAAGTCTGCAAGATCTGATCTGTGAAATAATTCGTGGCTGGGATTAATTTTGAGGCACTGCAGGTAAACAGCCAACAGGCTGTGGGCTCAGGCTGGAGGGTATTATGGCTTGCTGGGTGGGACGGGCTTGTACAACTATCAGCTGCTTGTGGAAGTGGACAGGCAACGAATAAGCTGAACAAGCATGTTAGCAATTATCAGGTGCTGCGTACATATGATAAAGCTATATAACCTCCACTAAATAACTTACTCGCAAAACCTAACTGCATTTTTCCAAGAAAACTGTTTTGGTTCTGCCGCAGCATCTGTTTTTGCTTTAATTTAATTTTGTCTCTAGCGAAGCTGAACTGCTTGGCTGTTATCAGTGATGCATCGCGATTCTTACTGTAGGGAGCCGTGTGTGATTTCTCACACCTAAACACACACAAAATAGTTACTTTATTTTTTTTTTATATTCAAACATTTATTTTTTTTATTGCAGCTGGATTTGTGAAGGCTGTTCCGTTGTGTCGTAGGTGTGTTAGTTGAGCATGCTTTTCAATGGAACGGAAAAAGGTTTTCTCGTCATTCATACATCACAGACAATTTATGTTAAAAAAAAATCCTTTGGATGGAAACGTGGACTAAGAAAGTTCTTTTCACACCTTTCATCCCTCCAGAGAAGCCTCTCCAGTTGGCGAAGACCATGAGGGGCAGATTCTCCCTGTTGAAGTCTTTGATGGCCTGAGCTGTTTTATATGCTGAGTCAGGGAACCACACCTGCCCAGCCTGCTGTACGATCTAACACAGACAGGCAGACAGACAGAAGAACAGGGATTTCAGGCAGATACTCACTGACTGAGTAACACAGCAGATTTCTGTGTTTTCCGTGCTATTCATGAAATATGCTATTCATATTTCGGTTTTTTTTTGATGCTTGACAACTTTCTCAGTCATTTTACAATCTTCTACAGCTGCATTCATCATTCTGGACACATCTAACATTTCTTACTCTTCACAGTGGTGGAGCGTTTCTTCAACACAGCACCAACACTCACCTTCGCCTCCGAGTCCAAATTAGCTGGATCTGCTGGGATGGTGAGCTCGACGGTCCGCGTTTCCACAGCAATGACTCCGAGAGGAATCCCGCCAAGCCTGCAACGAAGTGCCAAGCAAAAAGCACTTTCAGTACATCACCATATGAACAGAGTCGCACTAAAGCAAGCACACAGATTCAGAGGGGCTATGATATCATATGGGGACAGACAGGTTAACTAAACTGTGGGTAAGCTCACCTGGCCCTTCCCACCACCACCGTCTGAGCCCACACGGACATCACCTCCATGAAGGTACCATGGTCGAAGAAGCCGCTCTGCCACGCCCCCTTCACATCTATAAACACAATACAAAATAAGCAAATACACAAACACAATAATGAGCATCTACAAGAGTCTTATTACTCTCCTCGGAGCATAAAACATAAAATAATGCAGAAATTTAGTATAAATATATCTAAGCTCAGCACTAGTCAAAAGTTTGGATACATACGAATTTCTGTTCTTCATATTAAAGACTTTTTGACCTAAAGGCTTAAATGCTTGTGAACAGTGACGTTGTTTATGTATGAATTTATTTCCAAAACAAAACAACTTTAATGAAACAAACTATATATTTTTAAATGTTTCCTCCTGTATGATAAAATGAGGAACAAACTTTCAACTGGTACTGTAAATGTTTTTCTTACTAATCACCATGGTATAATAAGTTGTTTCTTATTCATCAATACACCAAATCTCTGCAAGACATTTAAGCTTTACATATCACATGGTGTAAAGTAATACAGAACATATTATACACACAAAATGAATAGTCAGTAGGACAGATTGTGTTAGAGAACAGAACTGATGCAGGGTTGTTAGTGGGGCTCTCACTGGGGTGGGGTCGTCCACAGAGCATCCACCGAGGGTCGTACGGAGCTTTGGTGGGGACAAACTCTATCTCTCTGTCCACTGGGTCAGTAGGGGGCATCACTGGCACTGGAGTAAACTTGTTCTGAAGCCACAAAACACCATAAAACACAAGATGATACCACATGTGACAACAGTAAAATACAGAACAATGACATATTTACAGTACTATGTAATTACACAGCGGATTGCCATACAATACAAAACTCTTCAGCACTACTCACTACAGTACCAGACAGTACCAACAGGTGGTGCTAATGTACTGATAAATATTAACACACTGCTGTTCTTAATAGCACTTTTTTTCTTGAGCTTCAAAACAATAAGACAAACCATTCGGACCTTTGGCATGTATGAGAGCCACTTCAGGATGGTGAAGACCCCCTCAAAGTCGTCAGGCACAGTGGTGTGTGTGACTCCGTTGTTGTGCATGATCTGCACTCCACCCAGCTGGTTATTGGAGGTGTACACCTCTCGGCCCAGCACCTAAACAACAGCAGAGAGAAAATAAACACACAAGTGACAGTAGAGAAAATGCTAAAGGACAAAAACAAGCTTGGAGTGCAGAGGATTGAAAATTAAAGAACGAAGAAGGCAGCAGAACTGCAAGTTTAGTTCATTAATGGTCATTAATTAGGTCATAAAAACCTTAAAGATCATTAATACCCAGTGTACCCAATGAAGATGTGATAAAGCTGACTGTTTAAAGCTGACTAATGTCGAAGACAAAGTGAGACCAGTAACCAGTAACATCTGAGCTTTAATGGTATAGATGAATGTGGGCTCACTATTTGGCAAGCAACATTTTTGTCCTTTATATTTATGTGCAGTAACTGCTTATTAATGACATTTAAAGTGTTTATGATCAAGTTAATGATCATTAATAAACTCATTTTAAACCATTCATAAACTTTTATAAGGGTAGTCTTACTGTAACGTGGTACTGATGTCTTTTACAACGTCATATAAATGATTCAGTGCATTTTTAATATCTTGCAATGCATATTTTTACATATTTTAAACATGTGGCAATGTAACTGCAGTACTAGAACTCTGTCCAAATTGTGTGGCCCTTAGTAACCCAGTAAGTAATGATTATGGGGCTACATGTATGATAAAGCATAAGTGTAAGACCTTGTTGAGGGCCCCTGCTCCAGTGAGGATAATGTGGGAGTTTTCCACTTGTATGACTCTCTGTCCCAGGCGAACCAGGTACGCCCCGATGCCTATAGCTCGACACGTCACCTACAGAGACAAATAATATTCCTCATCAAACAACATCATCATAACATTAACATCTGTACCAAAATCATACAAACTATCTAGTCACTAAGCAGCTCTCACCATGCTGATGGTGACAATCTCCTCGTACGCCTGTGATGACTCTCCTGCTATCATCCCCGACCCCCTGAGATTCTCCACCCCGAGACCCTCCTCCTTCCCGATGATGTCTGTAATGATGTACCTGCAGCAGGTAACAAAGGGACATCATGTCAAACCAGCAGTTTAATAAGATGTTATAGCACCACATTCTGTATCTATTAAGTAGGATCCCCCCCATACTTCTGCTAATGATAAGTGAATCCTAATCTTATATCTACAGCACACTGTCTTAAGCCTCATTTGGACAGGATTAAATTTACATGCAATCCCAGGCAGCAACAGGAGTAAAGCTCTATTCTATACCCAGTATTTATTGTATGTCCAGAAGTATTTGACCACGTGTTACGCAAACATTTCGTTTTGTAGAAAATACAACCCACTAGAAACTCATTCCTGCTGTAATTTCATTGGCATCTGGATGTAACAGCTGGGTAAACATTTTATTACAGACATCCTGCTAGCAAACTAATTCAGTTCGAATAAGACTATAATGAGTTGGAGTAAACAGTCCAGATAATAAAGAAAAGGGCTATTTAGACTGAACACTGACATGCAAATCAGACTGTATCATTATGTGATTATGTGCTGAAAAAATCTGCTGATATACGAAGGTTGTCCAAAAGGGAACAGAAAACATACAGGTGGATAAGATATTCTTCTGGTTTATATCTTAGATATGTGCAAAACATGGTCTGGTTGCTGAAGCTTAAAGCTAACTCAAAATGAGTGATAGAAAAAAATCTCATGGAAGCTATGAAAGGTGAAGAGGATTCACCTGGACTCCCCTTCCTCTTCCACATGGCGGCAGTGGACGGAGTTAGTTGTGCTGATGCGTGTGTAGTCCTGGGGGGTCAGGTACAGGTACTTAATACCCTGCAGGAAGAGTGAACACAGAGTGAGACCACAGAAAAACACCAGTGAGACAACATCTGTACAGCACAACACAAAGGCCCACCAAGTACAGACAAAAACGTTTTTTTAGTCACGTACTTTAGTCCATGTTTAAAGATAACAGTGTGTCATACAGTATCAGAAACCACATAAATAAGTCCATTAGAGATGAACAGCTCCACACAGTTTGAGGCAAGTGTGATGATTTAGACATGCAGTTGGCATCATGCTAATTCTAAACTGAAGAATCAAACATTACATTTGGAGTAAATGAAAAAAACATATAAATCACTATCAATCAGATGGTTTCAGTAAATTAACTAATCAAGCATTCAAAGAGTGTCAACATTTATTAATTGAAAGCAGTCACCTTGTAGGGGTCACTGGGGTCGAGCCAGGCCACCTGAAACTTGTTCTGGACCTCTGCAGCCAGACCAATGCGAGCACCGCTATTGGCTGAGATGTAAATACGTGGGATGCCCTCGACCCGGGCCAGCTCAGACGCTCGCAGGAACAGCTGGTCCTCCTGGGGTCCGAAAGAACCGATCCGATACGTGATGTCATTACAGATCACGATGATCTCCCGTCCCTCAGGGTACTCCGGAGTCTTCATCGTCATCCGGAACGCCACCATCCCGGCCTGAATGAAAACAGAGAGCAATTACACGGTTTATGCAAGTACAAACTACGTATGCCTTATTTGAATACTCAATTAAAGAAACACCAAAATGAGTTCAGATATTTATATACAGTAGTGGAAAAAAATGCTGTTTCCAAATGAAAAAATGATCAAAAGCTACAGAAAAAATGGGACTCCTAGCAACCAGGAAGACCTGGTAGACACCAAAAGTGTCTCCTTCAGATCAACAGCAATGCAAGGTGTACAATACCTCGTTGTCCCCAGGCAGTCGGTTCATCTGTACGAGTCTGCCCTGAGGATCCAACACCAACTCATTACACTGCAGCACATCTTTAGGGTAGCTGTCGTCCGGCCCCCACAGCTTAAACAGAGCCTGCCAGACAAGGAGACCAAGGATAGAGCAGTTGCATTAAAAGTGACAACAGTTCCATTAACGTATCTCTCAAAGCTTAAGAGAGAGAGAGCGAAAAAACAGGACAGCTGTTACAGATCTTAGAGTCTGAGTCAAGAAGAACACAAAATACATTATAAATAACCACAGTTATAGTTACATTAGCTTACATGCAGCCTTTTCTGCAGTGATGCCATTGGTCCATTCCAGTGAACATACGCATTGTTCATGCAATAAATTTGGCACTTGGCTGGCAGTTATGATTTGGTGATATGACAATTTACCAACTTTAGAGCCATCCTTGAATGAACAGTAAATGCAATGAACAGTAAATGCAATCCAGATCTAGACGTCAGGCTCTTTTTGTAAACTCGAAACGGTGAACCCTTAGAATTTGTGGTTATTGCTGGTAAAAACAAAAGTATGTTGCATTTTTTCCCCCACTCGGATATCTCACTGAAACAAGTGGTGAAAATCTGCAGATTCTAAACATTCAAATGAATGTAAAGTTTGTTGATAATCAATTATATAATTATGTAACTATGTGAATAACACAGCAAATAATAATATCAATAATAATAATTATTAATTTATTAATAATTATTATACAGTTCTCCAGCTAAAAGGGTCAATGCCCTCACTGTAAGAACATGTTTTAAGATGAAGTGTGTATAATATCAGGTTGAGAATCTCCACACACCTGACGGAAGAGCTCAGGGAAGTCGTAGACGTAGGTGGTGCCGAGGCTCTGGGCCTGGAAGCGTTTGGCCTGCAGCAGGTCTTTAGTGACGTAGGGGGTGTTGATGAGCATTCCGTGTAACGGGCCATGCTTCCCTGTGTACGACTCGAACATGATCTACAAAACAGAGGGACACAGACAACAGAGTCAAGACCCAGAGTCGCATACAACATAAAACACACAAGCCTTCATTAAAATGTGGAAAGCTTTAATGAATTCATTTCTTTTCAAGTATTTGTACTGACCATCTACTATTTCAAACTATTAGCACATTAACTTTATGTAAATTGTAATCAAACTTTAGAAAAAAATAATTGAGAGGTCACCTGTCCCGTTGTGGGGTCCGTCACCTCCTTGTAGAGGCTGATGTCGAGGTAGTATCCGCTTTCGTCGGTGATAAAGAGGCGGATTGGGATGGTGTTTCCGTTGGGAGTCAGACGGATTCCCATCTTCAGCTCAGCCTGCAGCACACGCAGTTTCCACAGACGTCGGCCGTAGCGCATCACCATAGTGCGGACATTCTCCACAATCTGAGAGAGGAGACGTGAGACACAGTAGAATGGCGTTAGCTTTCAGCCAGCAGATGGAGCTAAATCTAACAGCTTCAGAGTAGAAGTGCAGCCTCCACCAATGACTCCTGAAAACATTACATCTTTAAAGCCGTAATTCAGTAAAACTCAACTGTACACAAACGTCTGCTGGAGCTACGAGGTAATGTAACTAACAAGTAATAAAAGCTTACACCTCACCAACTAGCATGGTGCTAGCTGCATACATAAACCATCACTCACTCACCTGAAACAGTGTGGAGTTATGTGGTTTCTGACTCTGTATGGCACACTGTTATCTATAAACATGGAACTGCCATGTTCTGGCTGCTCACCTTGATGGGATCCATGATGACAGTGGGGACAAAGTTGAGGAAGATGTGGTTGCAGTCTGTGCGTGTCGGAGTGTTACTGAACGCCACCTCCAACTCATCCAGCGCCTCCAACAGCAGGCGCTCGCCCTCGTTCTGCAGGTACTCGAACGAGGCCTCCTGCACACAGGCAGGAAAGAGTCAAATAAAATCTGTTTAATAAAAGCTCGCTATTGGCTTAACATAAACACTTTTAGATTTCAGATTATAAAAAAACAACAAGGGCACCACAAATGGAGCAACACAGTTTTAGACCCACTCAGTTTTCTAATTATTTGAACTTGGGAAGTTATAAACGACTAACAGAGTAATTTTATGCATCGTATATACACACACACATTTCTGTGGCGGTGGATAATACCTTGGTGACAAGGTCTGAGTGGCGGACGATGGCTCTGATGAAGAAGCGGTAGTCAGTGACCTCAGCACCCTCCTCTACGCGAGCAGCTCCCAGGTACAGGTGCATCTTGTGGTTGGCGCAGGGAACGGCCTTTAAGTCGAAATTCCTCATGCGGTTCAGCTCAAGCTGGAAGGCCAGAGCCGGCTCCAGATTCCGATAGATCCGGTCCTCCTGAAACTGCGGCGAGAGGAAGCGGGATACGGTCAGATACGGGTACTGCACCGATGCATTTAAAGTTTGAATTTATTTTTTTTTACCTCATCTCTGGCTCTGAAAGTGAAGAACTTGGGAAATTCCCTCTGTTTAAATAAAAACAAACATGTTTACACAAACAACTACGCACACATTTCTACATATCTATTTTATTTTAGTGCATTCATCAATATTTTTGTTATTTATTTTTGTGTTAACATTTGAATATCAACTTTCACCAGCACTTACTTTCTGTGCCAGCAGGAACGTAATTCTTCTGATTCCGTACTCATATAGCAGAGCTTTCTGAAAGAAAAAGAGACACAAAGCAAGGTCAGAACAGCTTTAGCGTGGTATTATTCAGCCATTGGGATAAACTGACAATAATTAAATGTGCAAATAAAGGCACTAAATTAAATAAATCAGGACCGAAGCTATTGAGACTAAATCTGCCCCAGTATACAAATGCTTCACTGCTGGAGGGATGGCAGACTGAAGTGGAGAGGAGCAAAGTGAGACCATATGAGATTCATTCAACTCACTTTGGACTGAGCAAAGTCAGTGAACGCTTTGACCAAAGCATCATCGTCCTCAGTGTCAGCCGATTTGATTGAGACGTTGATGATGTGAATGGGATTCTCCCTCATGCTCTGCAGAAAACAGAGAACCACACCACGTGAAAAACACGACCATGGAACATCGTTATTTTTCTTCTCGGTTCTGTTTGAGCTATCTGTTCTCCCTGTAAGATACGTATATGTATGTGTGGTCTCTCTGCTAGCTCTGTGTGATCTCCAGTCCTTACCTTACTGCTCTCCTCATCGTAGAGGCCGGAGACAGAGTCGGTGAACAACGAGCTCTCACACAGCGGGTCAGCAAAGCAGGAAATCACCTCATCAAAACACCTGAACGCATACATTTTCATTTTGAATAATTACTGAGCTTTCACACATACCTTCGGCTGCATTAGACAGAGCGGTCACTACTGATTATACTAGTAATTGAGTCATGTATTGATTATTTAGAGAAATAAATGAGTAGAGTGTTTTAAAAATAAAAAATACTTTGCTCTAACATTTTGACCGTTTCAGATTTTTAAAAAAACATGTTCAAGACATGTTCTCCCCCCCCCCACCTTCTCAAACATACTCCTATTAGCATCCCTCATCTTTTTCATCTTGTTCACTTGAGGAACCACTGCATTCTTTCGGTTAATCCATGTCACTTTATCGTAGTTTTGCGATGCTATAGAAACACTGTTAAAAAGCACTACTTTGATGAATTGAGCAAAAGTATCTTTCACTTGAGTAAGATAAACATAACCAGGAAGCCCCAGAAAAAATGTGAGATTCGATAAAAAAAATTTAAAACTTACAGATAAAAATGTGAAAAAAAAACATATAAAAGTGTGCACTAGGCTCCGTTTCATACTGCTTGTAAAAAATATGTTTAACGAATTCCACTCAATGTCTACACTGGTATTAACTTATTAAACCTCATCACTCTTAGGTTACAGATTCTTGTAGCATCTCCAGGTACTTTGCATGACTTTGGCGTCTACTGTCTGTCCATGTTCTGATTTGCTCTGGGATAAGCGCATCCACTAAACGACTAAACGACTAAACATGACAGTCCAGAAATAAAGTTCATACCTCTTAAAGTCGTCGAAGCACTGAAAGGCCACCATGGCTCCCATCCTCTGACAGGGAGGAGACAGCGATCCATCCAGGAAGAGCTCGCTGCCCTGCCGCCGCATCGTCTCAAACTGATCAGAGCTGCTCACCGCCAACGACAACCTGCGTGTTAGTGTTCGTGTGAGGAGTCAGGGCGTTAGTCACAAACCTGAACAAGAAAATACAGTGCTGACTGTACTGAAGCCACACAGAGGACAGAAGGTATCTGGAGCTACAACACAAGCCACTTCCACAACAAACCCATATTACTCTTATTTCTACATATTACTCACAAGAACTAACGTCTAATATCTTCTAGATGATTATTTGGACTTTGTGAATGGAAAATAGCACTGAATTTTCTCTCCATGATAGGTGGGGTGGTGGGAGGAGAAGGGAAAACATGATATTAAATAATATAATAATAAAATAATACAGTGACGACTGTTTTCATAGCAAACTGTGTAATATTATTGTATTAACACATCATGTTTATATTTTCTTGAACCTCTGCTTAAATAGAGAAATAATGAACCACTTGAATGTAAAACTCAGTCAGCTAGTTAGCTACATTAGCTAGCTAGCTTAGCTAGGTTAGTTAATGTTGTAGGTAGCCTAATACATTTTTGAAACATCTAAATTCAACAACTTAATATTTTGAACAAAATAGTAGGTAATAGTTTATAGCAGATGTCTTAAGACTTCTGTATTTTGCTCTAAACACCAAATTCCTCTCTTTTGCTCAGATGTGACTGTTTCATTCAGAAAGTTGAGATGCTAACTTAACCAGACTCTAAAACACAAAGATATATCTCCATTTTAGCATTAATAAACAGATAAAATACTCTTGGAAATACCATATAGAGTTTTACTCCATAAAAACAAGCTAAGTTTGTGGTTTTAGTGACCATTCCTCTCAGAAAATGAAGGGAGAGGAGTTAGCAGCAACGCTAGCAGCTCAGTAAAAGCGACTCCTATGCTAAGCTAAGCAGTCTTAAGGAGCTTTTCTCTGAATAAACATAAGAATGTGCTATTTAAACGTCTGCAAACAAGACTCACCTCCTTGTAGGCAGTGGATATTATTCAAATTTTTATTTTATGTGACTTTGCTAAATATGTTTCTCTTTATTCACCACACAACAGATGGAGTTAGTAAAGCATAGCGACTGTTACTACACTGAGGAGTGCTGTCCATCAAAATTCAATTATTGTAATTAAATGTGGATTTAGATTGATCAAATAAAACAACTAAAATATATATAAGAATTAAATAAACTATAATAAATATAAATATAACATTTCTCAGTTGTACAGATTGATGTCGGTTCGTCCTCAACCAAACATCAAGTCGCCCTTGTTGACTGGGAGCTCAGTTGATTGACACTTTTCAAAAATGATTCAGTATTTTCTGAAAAGCCCACAAATTACAATAAATTAGGAAGGACCTAAACCTGAGAGGTCTGTTCAGCTCAAACAGGTCTAACATGGCCACTGTTAGTCTTGTTACAGCTGCTGAACTGAACTGTCCCCTTCAGACAGGGCCTGTCCTTCTAAACACTATCAATCTTATTAGAATAATGAATGGAAAACGGTGCACCCAGCATGCATTGCTACAGACACACAGGCCAGGTGAAGACAGAGCATAGAGGCAGCTTGGTTGGCAGGGAGGAGCTCGTACTCTACCTGTTCAAGGTGGGACTGCTCCCTCTGTAACAAGAGCATTCACAGGTCAGTGTTAGGCGAGGGGTCATCGACCTTAACCTCTACACTTTAACTGCGTCAAGCCTTGGTTACAAAGCAGAGGACACACAGACTCCGGACAGAGCATTAATCAGAGCTGAGCAAAGAAAAGAACGATCTGACCTCTACATTTTATGGGTTAAAAGTCAGAGTTCAACCCTACAGTAGATAAAAAAACACTAAAGTTCCTGCTGAAGGACTTCACAAAAGACTGATGTTTAAATAGACTGCAGGTCATGCAGCACTGCAATGCGCGTGGCTGTTGAGTTAGGCACTCAGATATAAGCAAGTTATATATATTGTTACTGTCATAACAAAACATTTATTCAGTTTTTATTCAGTGTTTATTTCAAATGCTGCAATATACATCGTAAATGTCACGGACCAAAATTACTATATCTTATAACAGTAACATTTGGGCTGTCATAGTTAATTCGTTACTATCATGTGGCATGATAAATCTGTATCACTAGTTTTTTAACTGTGTAAACACATTTTCCAAGTCTAAATCCACTGTATGAGTTTGAGTTTAACCACTGACTGTATATATGATGATATATTCACTCTTTGACTGTATGATATATAAATCCTTTGATGTTTGACTGATGATATATAAACCTATTGTGTATATGATATACACAATATATATATATATATATATATATATATATATATATATATATATATATATATATATGAGTATATATCATACACTCATGTGTATAGCATATATATAGTCAATGAGTATATATACTCATTGACTATGTATATGCTATACACACTCCTTAACCATATAAATGATAAATATGATATGTTTACTCTTTGTTTGGAACATGCAGATGCTGTTGCTCTCACTGTACATCAGTGATAAAAATTGTAAACTGCATTCACTTAGTGTTATTCATCACAATTCATTCTTTTAATCATTTGACAGCCCTAATTAATATACATTAAAGTTAAGAATGTTTTTTCCTTCTCTTGATATATTCCATTTCAGCGATACAAAAGCAAGGTTTTGTTATGCCAGAGACATTATATGTCATGAAAGTTCTTAAGTAGGAACTTAACAGTCATAAAAAAGTCTGGGCGCCACCAGTCAACTGACATTTTGTTGATTTTCTAAGTGAAAACAAGACATCCTCTACAGAAAACACACTTATGCACATTTTAATACACACTTTCTATTTGCTGAATTTAACATTCAGGAAAAAATAAAATATAAAATGTGACCTGTGTTTTTTCTCAATATATTTAACTCAGTAAATAAACAGAAAATGTGGACTAAAATTTGCAGTTTCTCTGTAGAGGGTGTGTTCACTTATGTTCCTTCAGAAAATCAACAAAATGTCATTTGACTGGCATAGAACTGTATATCAAAAGTGTTACTGAATAGATTATTAGATACAAAACAGAAAGGAAACCACTCTGCAGTGAATAATAATCATTTAATATGTCAAAAATGTGATTTGCTGTGATTAACCAAGCTGCTCAAGGTGGAAGCTACCAGATCAGAGGAGAAGAGGAAGGCTAATATGACTGAAATCAGGCATCTGCAAATCAAGTCCTCATTATTGCTACGTTCTCCAAAAGCACTGAAGTGGTGTTCAGATAAGCTTCATGTTTATCCTGGTACATAACACCTCTGCTCACTGATAAATCGCTTGAACCACACCAGTGGGACTCCATACGCTCTCACTGCAAACCGCTAGCCCCTGTACAACCACCGTGAAAGTTAAGGAAAGAGTCCAATAAAGTGAATGGCTGTACATTTTAGGATGGACATACAAGGCCTGCCCAGTGTAGCTTTAGCACAGGCTCTAAAACCACAGGTTTAGCCCTGCTAGCCCCGTTAGCATGGTGAGAGTGAGAAGTTGCTTTAGTGGTGCACACCCTCCACTGCAATACCAGTTACACAGTTAATTAGTGGTTTTAAGAAATAAAGAGGCCGTTACGTGGGTTTGGGCATGGAGTTGCTCACTCTGGTGTTCGGCTCTCTTTTGTGGGGAAACATACATAAGACACAAAATCAAAATGGGAAAATTAAAAGAAAAAAGCAAAAATGCAGCGCTGAAGCCTATTTGTAACTTTAACCACTAGTGCTTATGCTGACAGTTTTAAAAGTATTACAGATCGCCTACATCATTAGAGCCAGATTAGTAGAGTCTGATTACGTACGACAGAGTTTCTGTTAACATCTAACAACTGTGTGATTTATTCAAACGCTTAGCCAAATTAGCTTTAGCCACAAATCAAATTTAAACAGTTTCCTCTTTTACCCCAAATGTAGTCGATCAGCCAAGACATGTTTGCCATCAATTAGCATAGTGCTAACTGGATGCCTAAATCGTGTCACACTAGAGTTGTTCAGTCATCTCAAACAGACTTAATTATGTGCTAAGTACATTAGCATAGCCAAAAACATTTGTAGTAGCCAGGTTGAAGGCAGAATTCTGTCTGTACATTAGCGTTTATAGAGAACAGAGTGTCAGAAACCACATATACAAGTCTATTAGAGATGACCGAACAACTCCACACTGCATGTGAAGCATGTGAAGACACAGACATGCAGTTAGCATCATGCTAATTGGTAAGATATTAGCTACATCAGCCTTGTAACTGCAGCGTAAAACCTAAGAAGCAAACTTCAGACACATCTGGCTGATCGCCCACGTTTGGAGTGAGGGGGGAAAGATTTGATTTGTGGCCGAACCATTGCTTTAAGCTCAGATCTGGATGGAATTTGCTAGAAGCTCAGGGCACTCCAGATGTGTGGGTGTTGGGGTACAGATTAGGGTGGGGTAAAGGTTTCACCCTACCTGTTAGGATGGGATGAGGGCAGCATGAACTGAAATAGTACAGCACACGTCCCGTCCTGCAGCTGATGGTGCTGGAGGCTGTTCAGCTCGTAGGCTATATAACCCCTCCGTACGTACACCTGAACACATACAAACGCTGTTATTCACAATACACTAAAGGCATAAAACCTGAGGAGGTAGAGTGTTATAAGCAGTGCCTAGCGACATCTTGACCATCCTTATTGGTAAAATAATACAAACACTACATGCCCAAACACTAGAAACATTCATTATTCTTATTATTTATGATGAAGCCTTTGTATGGCGTATGTGTGTCCTTCACTACTTTCTCTTCAAAGAAAACAAACAGAAAAACAGACAATAATCAAAATGTACCTCTAAAGCAGCCATGCACACCACCCGGTTGCTGTGGTAGAAGAAACTGGGCAGAACATCGAAGATGGAGGTTTCAGACATGATGAGTTTCTGTTGAGGAGAAAAATATGTGAGGAGAAAGAGGAAGTATTAGATAAGAAGCTTAATTTCTACACAAAGCCCTATTTGAGCTGGACTGGTTTTATCTGGGGAGGTAATTCATTTAAACCCAGCATGAATCTTACAGTCTGACGGTAATAATTGTGGAGTGATTTTAATCCAGTGTGAATCTGCAGCGTGTGTAGTTTTACAGTCTGACGGTAATAATTGTGGAGTGATTTTAATCCAGTATGAATCTGCAGTGTGTGTAGTTTTACAGTCTGACGGTAATAATTGTGGAGTGATTTTAATCCAGTATGAATCTGCAGTGTGTGTAGTTTTACAGTAATAATTGTGGAGTGATTTTAATCCAGTATGAATCTGCAGTGTGTGTAGTTTTACAGTCTGACAGTAATAATTGTGGAGCGATTTTAATTCAGTATGAATCTGCAGTGTGTGTAGTTTTACAGTCTGACGGTAATAATTGTGGAGTGATTTTAATCCAGTATGAATCTGCAGTGTGTGTAGTTTTACAGTAATAATTGCGGAGCGATTTTAATCCAGTATGAATCTGCAGTGTGTGTAGTTTTACAGTAATAATTGTGGAGTGATTTTAATCCAGTATGAATCTGCAGTGAGCAGTTTTTAAAGTCTGACAGTAATATTTGTGGAGTAATTGTAATTCAGTATATATAATAATATGACATTACACAAACACTTTATCTGAACCAGTTGGCTAATCAAATCCCATACATTACATTAAACAGCCGCCTCAGGCAAAACTAATCTATCTGAGCTCACCTTCATGTTTTCAGGGCAGAACTGGTGGCCGTACATGTCTATAGCAGACAGAAAGATGGACTCCACCTGGTTGTGTCTCACCTCATATGAGGGTAAATGAGACGCAATGAGTGCCTGCAAAACAGGAAAAACTCTTCATCCTGCTGCACCATGAAGGCTAATCACACAGGTAGATCAGAATGGGTCAAAGATCAGACGCGATCAACCCCCCTACTTACCTGTCTGGCACACAGAGCGACTTTTGAGTTCTCCATCTTACTGAGCTGAGTGAAATCATTCAGAATCACCATAACATCATCCGGCAGCGTTGGGTCCCGCCCACACAGCTGGTCCTGCCAATCAGATCACACAAGTGACCTCGAAGTTCCCCAATGATTTACTAGAGTGTTAACAAACAAATACACACACTGGCCCTTGTTCAGCAGAGCTGCGTAAAAGAGTGCAGCTTTGACCACTTTTAATGACGTGTGAGCTGCTCTGCGTCTGACTCTTATAAAACATGGAAATGAGTGGAGATTTGAGCCCAAAGAGTGAATCAGTTTCAGTGCGTGAAATCAAGCACCAGCCTACGAGCATCTCATTTACATATCATTTACATGTAATGTGCCCTAATCCATGCCGATGTTTCAGTAGAGAGCCAATAAAACAACAGCATACACCAGCTCAGGAGCCAATGGCTGTGCTCGCAGGCAGAGTGTGAGGTCGAGCAGTGAGTGCACTGCTCCCCCTAGTGACCAAACTTTATACCGTTAAAATTACAACCACTGGAAAGAGTAAAATGTGAAATAAAAAAAATGTCTTAGTTTTTTATGTTTAGTTGACATGATTATTTTCCTCTAATAACATGTCTAATATGTAGTATGTTTTTATTTGGAAATAATATGTAATATGTCTTTAAATGGAACATGGAATAGTTGCAGCATTTGTTTATTTTTTTGTACTGAACTGCCATCTGCACACATTCTTAGTAATATAGTTATTGTCTACTTTTATTCATATTACTGGGGATATTGATAATTACATACAAATTTACACACACTCCTACCAGATGCGAGTTTAACTGCACAGATGCGCCAAAGATGAAAGTGATGAACAAAACTTCAGTGAAATTTGTGTGTGTTTATTTTTCGATCACATTGGACTGTACGCAACTTTCATTAATAAGGGCCACTGTACATTTAAACATACAACAAATAAATGCAAAAAGCTGAAGCCATACCAGAAATACGGCTGCTCAGTTTTGCTTATATTCATGTAGAGGGACATTTTTTTCTGTTTTTTTTTTTTGCAGAAATGTCTTTTTAAACACAATATTATCTTCCATAAAATCAATCTTACAGTAAATAGTTGCTTGTATCTTTCACACTGTGAACTCAACACACAAACAAAATTGTCAGCATCAACTATTCACAATGCAATGACAGCAGTTAAATTGCCCAAGTCTGGTTTATATTTTGACCGAGATGTTAATATTGAGCTAAAGGAGCGATGTTAGTCCAGCAGTACTTCAAACAGAATGATGAATGATTTAACTAATATGTCAAAATACACCATTACTGCCTTAAGTCTATTTGGATGAGAGTGGCTGCTAAATCGAGTAAATATGAATCTAGAAGACTTACTATGAGCATTGTGACGAGAATGTTCTTCTTGGAGATCTGAGCGTGGGAGAAGATGTACTCCAGCACAGGGGTCATATCCGGTTTATGCTGCTCCCTCAGGTTTATCACACATTTATCATAGGTGGCTAGGAGAGACAGAGAGATAGAGAAGGGCACAACTCATTTTGTGATTCACATTAAACATAATAGTGAAAAACATGATGGTGGAATTATACCACATCGTTCTCTGAAACTCCAAAATACCCGATTAAACTAATTATCAGGTCTTCTCTGAGCTGAGTCACGCATGTTAGAGCAGGGACCCAAGAAATAGTGTAGTGCTACGGCGCTAAGAAACTAGATTTAAACCTTTTCATTTATTAAGGTTAAAGCTGCACTATGTTCATTTTTTTGTTAAAACCGAAAAAAGTGTCATAACTGAGTGAAGAGAGTAAAAACAGGCTAAAATATGGTGACTGTACGCTGCTGCACGTCACTCTATAAAGCAGGGGTCTTTAATTTAAATTCAGTAAGGTCCAGTTAAAGAACATTTCCTCGAGCAAAGGTCCAGAACATCATAATGTCTAACTTGCATCATGATTCAGTGCCATATACTGTAAACTGAAGTAGCCTAGTAGGTATATCAACATCTTATGTAGTCAACAACCAAATGTCAAATCAAATAAAGTACAATTCAGTAACATTTCAACAATATTGGTCAGTTTTCTCTTTTTAGAGCACACCATGTGAAATAATCTGGCTCACTTTCTTCTCCGACTGCTGTCTCGCCTCGTCCCTCCCCTTTGTGTGCGTCACTCAGTCAATCTTAGTGTTCATCGTAATGCACAGATCTGATTGGCTGAGTAGCGTCTCATGTAATATATACAACGCATGTGATTGGTCTGTGAGTCTCCCGAGCCGCTAAACCGGTACCGTAATGACTAGAAATGTTACGCCGAATAAAATAGGACCACCCAACGAAATTAAATAATTCTCCATAGTTTATCGGTTATAGGTCCATTTCTGCAGAGGACAGTGTCTGGGTCCGGACTCGGACCGCGGTCCGCCTATTGGTGACCTCTGCTATAAAGCCTGAAATAATCATTTAAAAGCCAGAGGCGTCAGTCGTTTTTCACACCACGTACATCCTTATGTATTAAAATCACACATACAGATTCAAAAAGAAGGTCTGACTTGATGTTTAGGCCTCAAATGATCTCAAAATCAACAGCATACTCATGAAAATATGATGACAACAGCAGATAATTCACTCACATCCTCAGAAGACGCATCGTTCACCAAATCTAGACTGAGTTCTCTTTGAATTCTCTTTCAATCATCAGATTCATCCACTCAGGGAAGGGGAGCTGAAGCACATCCCACCTTTCAAACTGTTCTACCACACGCTACATTACACATTTCCACCAGAGAGGTCTCCAAATCCCCAAAACTTAGAGAGTAGCTTTAAAAATATAAGCTCAGATGTGGCTCTAATCAGCATTTTTGAGAGTGAGCTGGATGTTTGTGTCTTTTTCCAGGGAGAATAAGAATATTTTACTTTGCTGAAACTGCATCTCCACCTGCAGGTAGCGCCGCAGCAGGTCCAACACCACAGACTTCATATAGCCTCGAATACCACTGCGATACCTAAACATAAACAAACAAACAAACAAACAAACAAACACACCTCAGCATGATGGTAAGATACTGAACTTTAATTAACTCAAGCAAACATGCAAATGTGGCTAAAGCTATTTAGCAACACGATATAATCGGCCTATCACTTACTGGTGGCTATATTTTAATTATGATCAACATTAGCATGTTTTATTGAACTATTCCTCCACTTTTCAGTCTTCCATACACAGATTAAACCTAGTCTTTGCCCAAATTACCTATAAAATTTTGATTTTAAAAACTAGCTGATAAATTAGCACCAAATGGAATGTATGTGAATGTATCTGTTAACAGTCATCGAGGGAATGCTCAAAGAGACGATATGTTTCACCTAAAAGTTATCTAAAATGCAGGCGTGGTCTGAAATAAAGGTTAGTGTAATGGAGTGCATGCTATATATACAGCATGATTGCGCTCTCTAAATGATAACTCACCCCCGGCTTGCTTGCTTCCTTTATTTCCCCATTACCATTTCTGACTCATTTTAATGGCTCACTGGACTAGAAAACACGTGTGGCTGTGTTTTTTCCACTGTATCTGACTGACTCAGCGACCTTGAGATATGCTCTGGAACTCCAGCTCCACTTTAAACAGCCCTGATAAGACCGGGGGCGCTCACCTCTGCACCAGCTGCACGATGCTCTGAGTGTTTATGAAGAAAACCTCACGGTCTGCTTTCCTCTGCAGAGTGGCCGCATGACTGTCCAGGATATTGGCTATCTGTGGCAGCAAGCCGTTCAGGAAACCGGTGTCAATGTGATTGCTTTAACCATTCAATTGATTATTGAACAATATTGACTCATCAATCAATAAATAACAGTTACTACCATCAATATTCTGGCATTTTCTAACCACTGTGTAATTGCTGAGGATAAACAGTTAACTCTCAGAAGTGCTGTCTTACTATTGTTATTTTGTTGTAACATCTAAATTACATAATTAACTAAATTTTTGGCTCTAAATTTGGCTCTGATTGATTCTGCCTTTCTTCTATTTGATATCAAGCAATGACAAATTAAGATAAAAATGTGCAAGGTGTTGTCATCAAATTCAATAAAAAGATCTAATTACAAACACAAATGTAGCATTGCTGAAAGTTTACAATCTGTTCTTTCCACATAATTCACATACTTTTATTACTCTTAGCAGTAACCGTAACTTAAGGGATAATCCGGTCTTGAATTTTCCTCAAGGGAAAATGTTTTACTACATAAACGTCAGTCTAGCCATCAGTCTCTGTGTTCTGTGTGATCCTGTTCACTGTTCTAGCTTCACAGCACTTTTTTATCTTTTATTTATCGCTGCAACAGCCTGTTAGCTGACTGTACTGTATTGGAGTTTGTGGTAATGCAATCCACAGGTTGAATCTTTACTGCACTTTCACAGTAAAGCAAGCTTTTAAATGTGTTATACTAATAAAACCATATAACACTAACGTCATACTTCTTGTCATATAATACTGCACTTTCACAGGATGCTGAGATACATGTACATATTTATATAATTTTTAAACATTCATATATATGATACTTATCTTTACTTTGCTTTTAGCACTGCTAAATGGATTGTGAGTATGATGGTACTACACTTGACCTAAGCTGCTCTGAACTGGTGTGAACTCACCCTCTGGCTGGGGAACTGGCTGAGGACGGAGGTGATGTTGCTGGCGTACTGAGCCATGACCTTACGGATGGCCTTCTCCACAGTAACAGGGATACGTCCAGACACGCTGGTCATGATCTCCTGCAGCTCCAGCAGGGGCAGGGAGGGGTCGCGCAGGGTTTTCATCAGAGTGCCCACCCACTTATTCAGCTAATCAGAGAGAGGACAGAGGGTCAGAGAGCAACACCACAGAGACAGAAACAGCCCTGAGAAACTGAAGGAACAGATCACTTTACTGTGAGAGAGATAACGTTCACTGTACTGTCCCCTGTTAACTCTTGTTCAGTGGCAATCACAATACTGTACCAGGCCTGCAAAGCAATATTTTGGTGAAACTGCCCTAAATGTAGACTTTTTTTTAAAAAGGTTTTTAAGTAACGATTCTATAAAACAAAAATGAACCAAAAATCCATCTGTATGTTCTTACTCTGCTGCTGTAGTAGGGCTCTGGGAGGCAGTATCCATCCATCACCTTCTCCAGGTTCTCCAGGACGTTGTGGAATATCTGGTGCAGCTTCTCACCCACCATGGGAAGGGGCTCCTGAGCAGGTAAAGGCTGAGTGTTCAGCTCCACCTGGAGGGAAGAACAATGTTATAATGCAAGGTGAAGCTTGGGGAGGACTGAGAAGCAGATCAACACAGATAATATATGATCACAGAAGATAAAGTCCTGTCACTGGTGCCCTGAATCCTTAAAATGAGGCGAGACGGGAACATTCTGTTCATCTTAGATCGTTTATTGCATCTTATGAAATAAGCACCATCAGCACCATCAGAACCATAAGAAGTCATTTTATTTGTCAGTGTAAAGCCCATATTCTGAATAATTTCTCTAAGCTAAATTATGAAGTTGTTAAAAGGCTGAAATACAAATATTGCTGTGTGCAAGTTAACACTGCTGCAGACAGAACTGATATCATAAGACTGGCAACCTCACCAAAATACCCCACACAAACCAGCAAGCTTTGTCCAGTGTGGTAGTTAAGTTGCTTTGGCAGTAATAGAGTACATCCAGAATAGCTGGTGTTATTATATAATAGTGTTGATGTTTAATAGTAGACTTTCATGTGATGTCATTTCAGCGTACAAGATAGTTTGCTATTAGCACAGGTGTAGCAATGTTGATATTTCAGCTTTTTAGGGACCTTGTAATTCAGACGATCCGGTGATATTCAATGGAAAAGTGTACAGAATGACATCACTTCTGAATAATGAGAGTATTTACAGGGTGAATACTACTGGGGTCGTCCAGGTCCATGTGGGCTACTACACAGCCTGGCTCCAGCATTGCGCCTGGCCTCTTCACAAAATGAACACAGCCCGATTCCTGAACCGTCAGCGTCATCACCATCTTCATCACCTGCACAACACACAAACAACACAACCACAGATTATTATCTAAAGAATTAAGCAAAATAACCCACAATGTGTGGTTAAAGACATCAGCCCCGTATATGGACTGACACTGAATACAATAAACATATATGCAACTATAAAAATATATACACACAATTATAAACATACTTATAAATGCAAATATAAATATAAACATAAAATTTTGAACTAATGCTATCTTAGTATTGCAGCAAAGTTACTTTTGGTCCAGCTCATGACTGCTGTCAATCGGACCATGTAGCTTGGTACCCAGTGTGCTTAGTTATGCAGCTTTCCTTTAGAGTCTCACCTCTATTTCAGCGTATGGGTGTCCAGCTGTCACATGACCCCCATCGTCCACAATGTACTGCAGCAGTTTTCCAGCAGAGGGCGAGCGGAGCACCGTAGGGTCGCGTTCTTTCTCAAACACGCACGTCTTGTTGCCCACAGTGATCCGGTAGCTGTGGAGGGGACAGATCTGTTCACTTGATTGCCCAATCAAATTCCTGTGGGGGCCGGTGCCACCTCAGCCCCCCCCATACCTGCCGCTGTTACTCACGATGCTACACCAGCCACACAACATCTTCATATACAGTTACATAACATTCGTCGCTGATGGAATAAAGCCTTGTATTAAATTTTTTGCAAAATGTACTGCAGTTACACTCTTAAAAGATGGTTCTCCAAGGATTCTTTGGAAAAGAAAATGGTTCTATATAGGACCATGAATACTCAAAGAACCCTCTGCATAATTAAAGTGTTCTTTGTATCATGAAAGGTTTCTTCAGATTGATGGTATGTTCTGTACTGTAATGTAGATGGTTCTATTTAGAACCTTTTTGAAAAGGGTTCTATATAGCACCAAAAAGGGTTCTTCTATTGCTTTGATGTCGAGCTTGTAACAGTAGAGAAACCCTTTTTGGTGCTAAATAGAACCCTTTTCAAAAAGGATCTATAGTGAACCATCTACAGGACATTCTCCATCAATCTGAAGAACGCTTTCATGATGCAAAGAACCCTTTAATCATGCAAAAGGTTCTCTGAGTGTTCATGCTTCTATACAGAACCATTTTCTTCATTAAAGAACCCTTGAAGATCTTTTTTAAGTGTGTACCGTTTACTCTGCGTCAGAATTTCATGACAAATGGACCAAACAGTCAAACTCGACACAGAATAAAATCTTGTTACTGTAACTTACATTAAAAGCTAAGAATGTTTTTTTCTTTTCCCTGTAAAGTTACTTTTTGGAGACTTTTCTTTCAACAACAAAGACATAGAATTACACCATATACAATTAACAGCAACATAAACGGTTCAGATACAGCCAATCAGACCTGTCTATTTCCTCCTTCATGTAGGTAGTGTAGCTGCTGCCGCTGTAGGAGAACAGCAGGCCGCCGTCGCTCAGCCTGTGCACGTCAATCTCAATATCTGACCTGTTCATGATGATCACGTAGGTGGTGGGGGACTGCCGAGTCACCTATCACACATCAGATCAGTCAGAAATAAGACCACCACAGAGATTCCACAGGCTTGAACAGGTTAGTTCATAATCTTCTGTTACCTGAAGGGAGTATTTGATTCCCTCGTAGATCAGATCCACATCCACGGTGTTAACCAGGCTGGCAGCAGGTAACACCTGACCCCTGAGCACAGATAAACCACAGATTAGAGCTCTAAACTAGACAAAAGACCAATCTAGACCATCCACGTGATACTTCTCCAACTGACACAACTCATCCTCACTTTAAAGATTAACTGATATTGGCTTTAAAGGAATGGTTAGGTGAAAAATCTAATGTTCCTCTTTCCCCAGATGTAGCTGATCAGCCAAGACATGTCTGGCGTCCAAGCAGACTGGCTGATGTGGGTTAGAGCACGTGTGACTTACTGTGAGCTATAAAAATGAACATAACTTCACTGCGTAACTGAACACTGCAGACAGGCACTTCAGACAACACCTCCAATTTTAAACTAACAAAGCAAAATTTGTGCACTAAACATATCTTGGCTACAAGATACTCCACTACGTCTGGGGTAAGTGAAATATTCGGTAAATTAGACTTTTTGGAAACCACATTTCTTTAGTCTAGGAGCTTTATTTGACACCATAAAACCAGCTTTCTGAGAACACTGACATCATGTCATTGAACTTGTAGCCCTTTTAATTAATTAAGGATGCAGAGCTCTGTTTGAAATACAGCTGATGACTGGGGATGACTGTTTTTTTTTTTCTGGCAGAAATCAGACTTTGAAAATGTGTAAAATATCAAATTATGGAGGTCTGACAGCCTGCAAATGAAAGCCTACTGTGTTTGTATCACGCCAAATCACTTTAATCAGAGGTGCACTCTATGTTTTGTGCAGTGTGAATGCTCACTGTGTTCTGGAGGTGTTTGGCATCAAATTTTATGAGGTGTTATCGTCCTCTACTGTGCTGGCATGCTCAGGTGAGTGCTTTCAAGACATTTTTGTGTTCTTGTGTGGATGTAGAGATTTACAAAAATGCTGTTGGTGTGGACAAGGATTTCTTGAGATATGTTCTGATTTGTGTGGACAAGGCTTCATTCATAAGCACGCTGTGAAGTAAAGGGGCTTGTTACCTTGTTACAGCAAACTTTAGTGCTTATCATTTGTTTATGTAAAACATGAATTTCTGTAAAACTGAACATTTTCATAAACTGCTTGGATGAAAATATAATTTAATAAAAGTTTTAATTGTTTCAGATCTCACAGGCATGACAGCCATATATCAGTCATTAAAACGCCCACATGGAAGAGCCTGAGGACCACTGACACAGGACAGCTTTCCATAATTTACCTGATTAGCTACAGATCAGTTTAAACACTACAACAGGCAAAGACATATGACAGACAGAATATAATTACCAGGGTTATTATATTATACGCAGAAGTTCTTTTGAAGTCCTTGTTCTTGTAAATCAGTCTATGACTGAATCTTTAACTGAACAGCTCACCTCTCCAGTGAATGCAGGAAGTCAGACATGCTCTTCCTGAAATTAGCATCGGCTACATGGAGGGCTCCACACACGACTCCCAGCATGGTGTCCGGCCTTTCCGCCTGAAACAAACGTGCACAGACGCAAGTCTAGCTGTAGGTCGATTTAACAAAGAGATGTCCTACAGAAAAGGTGCACAATATACTGTTTTTTAATTCTAACTGCAATTTTTCACTTTTGCAATATTGCTTTCACACAAGTCTACCAAACATGCAAATGAGTCTCTAATAAATTACTGGGATTTTTTATTAGATGCCCTGACCATTCTGACCAGACATCTGAAGTTCCAGAGAAGTTTCTGTGTTCATGAACGTAAACTGGTGGTGTAAACTGGTTTTCTCAAGGGGAAAATATAAAGTTTCTTGTTTTTAAATTACAGCTGTCACACCACATGGTAAATAAAAATGCTCCAAACCAGATTTATATCTTGTATATGTTTTTCACCCAACTGTCACTGGATCCTCTGAATTATGAGGTCATTAAAGAGGCAAAATGCTAATATTGCTACCTACACACTGCAAGCAAGCTAACACTCCTTCATACTGAAATGAAGTTATGTAAGAGTAAGTCTACTATTAAATTTCTAGACTGTTATATACCAACACCAGCTGTGCAAACTGCAGTCTAAAACTGCCAAAGTGTCCAAACTACCACAGTAGTTTGTGTGGGGTATTTTGATGAGATTGCTCGTCTTATGAGGTCAATTATATGAACATTATTGTTAAAGAGTTAACTGGAACATTGAACTAGTGCATTAATTCGCCATCCAAATGTATTCTTTACTGCACTATTTACTGCAAAAAGCTAAAGCATAACAATATGACTTAACTACAGAGCACAACAACTGGTGTGTAGCATATTTGGATATCAATCATTTCAGACAAAAAAGCCACGGTGCTTTTCTTTATCTCCCTCTTTATGTGACTGTACTCGTACCTGCACTTTCTCAGCAATCAGGTGGTCAGCCAACCTGTGTCGATGTCGTTGTTCCTGAAGCTCTCCGTCTCCAGCAGTTTAATGAGATACTCCACGGTGGTCCTGAAATCCCCCCGGATAGACAGCTCCTTCATAGCTACCACCATGTTACTGTACACAGCAATACAGGACAAAATCAGCACATTCAGTCAATACACTATCGAACAAATGAAGAACCTTTTAACACTGTAATGTACAGTACTGCCTGGAATCAAAGTTTTTAATAATACAGAACCACTTTTGTTCCAGATACATTTATAAAGTGACTATAATGTGTGTCTAGTACAGTGCAAAGCTTTGATGCAGCACTGCAAGTTCATATAAAATAAACAAAGACCTAAAATGCTTCAGATTTTAAAGTGGTGATCACATGGTTAAACTTGAAATTACAGATAGAGATAATAGTACAGTATTAAAAAAAATCAAAATAGCTTTTAGTGTCATGTTTACAAATCTTCATTGTGTATAGTTTTCAATCTACGTTGTGCTATTATCGAAGACTAAAAACTATTCCAAACTTTTGGACAGTAATGTATGTGACTGGACTCACGAGATGGCCTCCTCGCGATTCTCTCCCCAGGAGAAGCAGTGGCCGAACTGCGAATCGGCAAATTCGTGCAGACCGCCTGTGGCCCCAACACTGAAATAGCCCCAAACGTTCTTATTGCTGCGGAAGTTCAGCTCCTGCACTGTGCCTGAACTCGGCTTAAAGCCCTGCAGAATAGAACACAAACACTGGCTCACTCTGCTCAGCCTAATAAATGCAGAGGCACAAAACTGGACTTAAAGTATTTAATGGTCGATTCACATTAGCCATGGGATTTAGCCCAATGCACGGTTTACTATGTCAAATGCACAAAAAATGACTCACCTCATCTGGGTTCTCACTTGTGATGCGCGCTGCAATGACATGTCCTCGAGGACAGGGGGTGCACTCCGGAGACTCAAAATTAATCGGGGTGTCCCCCCACGGCGACTCACCATACAGCACTCGAATTTCCTTAATTCTGTACAGAGGAATCCCCATCGCAATCTATACACACAAAAATGTAATAATAATAATAATAATAATAATAATAATAATTGCATATTCTAATTTTTGCAGTCTTCTGTATATCATCACTGTTTACAAAAGCAAAAAAATCAGATCAGATCACAGTGGATAAATTTACTACTTCCACTGTTTTAATTTCACGTCTTATTCTTATTATTACTACTATTTTTCCCTCTCCTGTCTTTTCTCAACTTAATTTAATACTTGGTGTGGTTGAAGGGGTGACCTAGCATGTCTGAGTTAGCTCAATGTAAACTGATGTAAGTTGATACAATATGGGCATTAATATTCTGTATGTTCTGTACCTGTAGCTGTGCAGCGGGCAGGTTCACGTCTGCGATCATCTCAGTGCAGGGATGTTCCACCTGCAGTCTGGGGTTCAGCTCCAGGAAGTGAAAACTGCCGTCCTCCGAGAACAGATACTCCACCGTCCCCGCGCTCACGTAGCCCACCATCTTAGCCATGCGCACTGCGTACTGAGACAAACACGCACAATTTCAGTGTCTACCATGTTAGCATTTTAAGAGCAGTACTCCTGAAAGCCTTAATAACTTCCAAGAAACAGTGGTTCTGCTTAGCACTGCTATAAAAGAAAGTCTACGCAAATCACAATCATTCTGAAGATCAGCAGTGCATCATCTTCCATCTTCTGCTCCACCCATTCTACTGCAGGACCACACCTGCACTTCTCTAGTACTCTATCTGTGCTTCTACCAGACTGTAAACTCTTCTCACCCGCTCCATCTGCTCGAAGGTGGCTGGTGAAACGATGGTGGGCGGAGCCTCCTCGATAATCTTCTGGTGCCTCCGCTGGATGGAGCAGTCTCGGCCGAACAAAGAGATGGCGTTTCCGTACTCATCCGCCAGGATCTGCACTTCCTGATGACGAGCGTGCTGAGCCAGCTGCATGATGAAGATCGGAGAACCCGGCACCTCCGCCTGGACCTGCAGAACGCAAAGATAGAATCACATAATATAATGAAGCCTCTACACCACAGCATTTCACCATAGCAAGAGGAGTAACAGTACACGTATAATAACATAACAAACCAATATGAAGTAAACTAAGAATGTTCTGGACCACAGGGGTCCCCAACTCTGGCTGTGGAGACCCACAGCTCTGCATCCTAGCTCTACAACATAAGATGATTTGTGATATTTAGTTGAGGAGCTGTGTTAGAGCACGGACAACACTAAACCATAGCTGTAAAAAGCCTAACTAAAGACATGCAATGTTTCAAACAGTGCATTAAGCGACTGAGACGAACTTTGATAAGATCATAGAAACATAAAAGCATTTTCTGGCAACAACTTCCCTCTCAAAGATTTACATGACTAAAAATGGAAAACCAAATAAAGTGTCTGGAATTCAGCCAAATTACTGAAGAACTGCGTTTATCAGCGTTTCCCAACTCAGTGCCTCAAAGACCCCTGAGGCACTCTGCATATTTGTTTGAGAACACTTAACTATCTGGTTCAAGCAAGTTTGGAGCTGGAAAAGACCAGATTTGTTTACATCCTAGAGGTTATTAACCCCTTTTTTCACAGTAGCAATGCCTGTTTTGGAGCTCCTTCAGTTTCTTTCCTTCCTTCAATAACACTGATGGAACATAATTTGATGGATTTGATGGAGATGTGTACAAATTATAGAATTTGAAGTGAACTGTACTTTTTGTTTTCAGATGCTATTTTATATTGTGTCAGTTGTGCAGGACTCATATGAAGAAAGCTGCAGTTGTCTAGTTTATCTCTGCATGGTCATCTTTGTGGAGAGGTGTGGATTGTTTTTACAGCAGGGGGTTCTGTCACTTTTCACCCCCATTGCTCGCTAGCAGCTCTACACAGTCACAACATCTCACACACCAAGAGAGAACAATGTCCTAGTTCATTTGATAACAGAATTACTGTGAACAAATATTTTATCTTATTAGATTAATTCATGTCAGAACAGGCATCAATGTTTAACAGGTACATTCTGTTACAAAGGTCTGAACACCCCTGGTCAAATGACATGCTTTGTTGATTTTTAAGTGTAAATATTTGAACATCCTCTACAGAGGACACACTTAAATTGATCTTAGTGCACAATTTCTATTTATTAGCTGAGCTTAACATATTGGAATGTTTTACATAAAATGTACCATAACTTTAGTCATGTGTCATATATTTTTTTTTATTTTGTTTCCATTATGTTATGTTCAGCAAGCAAACAGTAACTGCGTATTAAAATGTGCAGCAGGGTGTTCTCTGTTCCTCTGTAGAGGATGGGTTAACTTTTCACTTCAACAACAACATGGAATTTGACCAGGGGCCAAACTTTTGCATACGACTGTGTATGCCCTCGCTGTCATAAGATCTCTTTTTTTTTGCTTTTTTATTCTGCACCTCATGATGAATGAATCAATACAAACTTTGAAGAGCAAACCAGTTAAGTTACATGAACAGATTATTTTTTTCCTCCTAAAACTTTAGCTGTCAATATTTTTCTTATGCCAACTTTCTATGAGTAAACCACACAGATGGGTCACTGCGACCGAGTGTCTGTACCTGTCTGAAGAAGCTGGGGAAGTCTTCAGCACTGTCCACTTTCCTGATGCCCTTCCCTCCACCCCCCTCTGAGGCCTTAATCACTAAAGGATAGCCGATCTTCTCTGCCCCCTAAAAACAGGAAACACAACATTCACCACAGTCACAACAGCACTGCAGCAACATCACATATGGCACGTTACAAACAAAGTCCACTTTTTAAGGAAATTTGTGTCAAATGTGTCATCTAAAATACACTTAAATACTCATATTTGCAACTGGAACAGCAGTGTTTCCAAATTTAATGACATAACGAATAAATTAAGTAGGTCCAAGTCAGTGATGAACCGTGACTACTAGAGCTAGGCCTTCAGTTCTGGCCAAAAATTAGGAAAAAAAAAACCACCTCTACAATAACGCTAATTTCTGCTAGCACCCCTGTGGGATTCTAGTAGCATGTTAACGCTAAGCTAACACTGATGAATATTTTTTAGCCACTCTAGATTAAACACAGACATTACAAGCTTATACAAGACATTTATATCTTATTTGGAGCTTGTAACAGACATTAAGAGTCCAGCTTTCCATTCCTAACAACTTAGTCTAAACCTGCTTCGACTAGGGCTTGTATTCACAACCAGTGACGCATCTAGAACCTCCAGAAGAACTAGAGTGATGTTTATTTCTCACCAGCCATTATCAATGATGATTCTACTAAATAACACTGAACTAAAAAATTCAGTCACATATTGGTTTTTAATTCACAGGAACCATTACACCTTCTGTAAAGACCTAGAAGGGTCTGAGGGTTCCCCACTGGTCCAAGTCCAACGCCAGATACATGTTATACTGGCCAAGGTGTATAAAGATATAAAGCAGTGTAGTTACAGCGAGGCCTTCTTCCACGTCCCTCACACAGCCTTTACTGTAAATGTCCAGTGGGACGCTGACCACGTGGCCTGGCCTCTGTTCCTCCTCCCCCCAGGGCACCTTCAGCCCTGCAGAGAGAGAACACTCAGCATTCAATCACAGACACCACAGCGATGTGGGGTCTATTGTTTCACTGGCCAAAAAAAAGAAGAAATAGCTTGACGCACAGAACTTTTTATACTGGCGCTCTGTGTTTGGACAGAGAGAGGAAACCACAAAAGACGTAATATACTAGTTCATGACCTGAACAGTTGACATTAAAGGGGAACTCCAAAATTTGTAAAAAATTCTGCATAATTAAATGTTTAAGAGGTAAACAGAGTTATTCAGACTGGTTTGGTGTGAGAAGCTTACTAAGTCACAGTGGTGGTGATAGGAACCAGACATCCACCTCCAAAAGCTCCCTCACATGAAATGGTTATGAATTCACTTCCTGATGTCTGAGACACTGTTTTACAATAGTTTTAAGATTTTGCTCTAAAATGTAAATCATTTTTAAATCCATTTACAGTGGAGGGATACATGCAGGGTATTTTGAGATAAAAATAGTCCCCAAAGAAAACTTATTATTTCAGATTTTCAACAGTTTTCCCATCATCAACATTCCATAAAAAAACTCAGTAGGTTCTCTGGTGGTTTTGGATAGTAAATAAAATGGCTATATTTGCGTTGTAGTCACCACCACTGCAATAAAACCTGAGTCTCAACAACCAATCATTTCACACCAACCTACTCACAATGACTCATGATTTATTAAATCATGCAGAACTTTGGAAAAAGCAGTGGAATCCAATGAAGAAGCTGTTGTTAGTTACAGCCCTATGCTGATGCAAAGGAGGGAGAAAAAGAGCAGAGGAGGCTGCAGTGTATTACCAGTTCCAGTCCAGGGTAAAGTGGGAATTCCTGCAGTCTGAGCTACGATGGAAGACGCTACTTTATCTCCCAGAGCCCACATGGCTTTACTGGAAGGACCTGCAAAAGAGACACAAAGCTTATAAAACCACTAAGCACAACGATCTTCCTAAGATGGAAGAGAAAGTGTCATTTTAAACACTAAGCTGGTTTTCACATGTTAACAGTTTCAGTTTCAGAGAGAAAGGCAGGTTTCCTTGACAGTGATTAAAGTACAACTGAGACAGGATTACATAGGGAGGTGTGGTAGTGTAATTATAACCAGATTATTTCTGTGATTTTGTCATGTCAGTAGATTTTTATGGACTGTGTCCTCCTGGGTCTGTAAAAAGTGTGGAGGCTTTTGCCTACTATAAAATTACCTATATCTCTCCACATACAGTACTGTGCAAATCCACCCTACATTTATTTATTGTCCAGTAAAAACAGCCATTAAGCACAAGTTATTAATTTCTCAATAGACTGGATATAAGGAAGGAGAAAGTCAAAAGAAAATGAACAAAACAAACAAGAGTTTCCAAAAACGGTGTTCAAAAAATTCTTAAAACATACAGAGAAAACTCCTAACTCCTAACAACCACCTGGAAGGCCTGGCAGACCAACAAAACTGCCCCCATCAGATAAACAGCACTTAAAGCTTTCATCTCTGAGAGAGAGGAGAAAATCAAGCTGCTTCAGATCTGAAAACATCCACAGGTGTTTCTGTCCATCCTTCCACTGTGAGAAGACGACTCAGCGCTGTGGGTCTGAAAGGATGTGTAGCTGTCAAGAAGAACGTCACTGAGAAAAGGAGACGGAGACATCAAACAAAGAAGCTGGACGATGGACTGACCACCCCAGAGTCCAGACCTCAACACCACTGAATGTGTTTGATTACTTCAGAAAACCATCAACCAACTTCTAAGACTGAACTAGAGGTGTGTCTGCAGATTCTTTGAGAAACTGAAAGTGAGTCTCCTAAAAGGATGGAAGCTGTAATGAAGGTAAAGAGTGGACACAATAAATACTGATGTAATACTGATGTAATATTCAGTTTTGAAGTGTGCGTGTAATTTTCTGTTAACCAAGTTTTCTATTTTTTCCAGCAATGCTGGAAAATGAATAACTTGTGCTTAGTTTCCATTTTGACTGGAAATTAAATAAATGAAGGATGGCATCTCGAAACTATGGCTACACAATTGTGCACAGCAGCCTGTCAAGCTCAAATTATGTGGACGCAAGTGAACTTCTTTTTCTGTTTTTGGTGTAAATCTGTGAACCATTTATGGTCTAAAACACATTTTTAACAGTGAGAGTGTAAATTTAGTATGAACTGAGCTCAGTCTGAGACCAGGTGGTATTTTACAAAGCAGGACTTCTAAGTTTCACCAGATAACTTAAGCCCAAGGTCAAACCTGTCATTTGTAAAATAGCTAAGGCACATTTTAATTGAACAACCCTCAACTTTGGGCTTAAGTTATCTGGCTAACCCGGAAATCCTGCTTTGTGGAATACCCAGCAGGAGGCCTCCTCTCACAGTCATTATTTGAGCTTGTGTTGGTTTTCAGGGTCATACCTAAAAAAGAAATGCCTGCTTTATGGAGCAGCTCCGGCAGCTTGGGGTTTTCCGAGGCGTGACCCCACCCGGCCCACACTGCCTAAAGAAACAACATTATCATTACTAACCATAATCTTGTTTATAAATCCTTAACTGATTAGCAGAGGCAGAACACTGATATGAAAGATTATTACAAAAAGTACAGCTACAACTTTATCCTACAGCTGTAACTAAACAGCTTAATATAAACAAGGTCCCAATTACTCTAACAGGCAGGAAAGCTTTTAGTGGAGATGGGTAGTAACTGGCTACATTTTCAAATTATTATTATTATTATTATTATTAATATCTTTTCTTCTACTCCAGTACATTCCTGAGTAAAGTAATCTCTTTTCAACTCAGTTACACTTTTTTCATTAGTCAAAGCAGCTGTACTATTGGTCACATCTCATTTCGGTGCTGTAGCATCTTATTTTTTGACCCATTGATCAAAAAAAGAGAAGAACCAGAAAAAGAGAAGAGACATACAAACTTCAGTTCTACTTTTGCACTTATACTCAAGCAGTTTTTAGGAAGGCATTTTCACATTTACAACTGTTGTTACTTCACTGACAATACAAATATGTACAACACTCTCTGGTAGTGATCTGCCAGCTAATCCACCTGTAGAATTACCTATTTATGGTTAATAACTCAAAGTTTTTTAAAAAAAAAAAAAGAAAGTTTGGGTGTGATGGCTGTACCTGCACTGGAATCCTCTTAGCGATGTCCACAATCATCTCCACGTTGGCGTAGTTATTATTGTTGGGCCCTCCAGGAACCGGCACGTAGTGATCCGCCATTTTAATGTACTCTAAAGTACAAAAATAAACTTGAATACTGTATAATGTCAAAGTCAGTAGCACAACGGCACTGACCTACATTACGGGCTGCACAGTAACAGCAGAATTTTATACTGTGATTTTAACGGCAAATACTGAGGTTTTCTATCAAGACTATTTTAAATGTATTACACAACATTATACACATATCGATCATACTGGGAGCAACAGTAAAGTAAAACTGTTTCACTGAAATTTTCCAGTCTTACCTGCATTGGCTTTCAGGTCCTCGGGTGTTACCATGACGACGAAGCGAATGGTCCTCTCGTTGCGGAACATTTCGTAGGACCAGCGGCGGATGGAGCGCATGCATTTCACTGCCGCAATGCCGTTGTTGGCTATGAGCACCTGGAGAGAGAGAAAGCGTAAACATTAACTCCAACACAGCTTCTGCAGTCATCAGTCTGCTCACAGCTCTGTGCTCACACAAACAAAGCTGCACTGTAAAAATATAAACACCAGAGGTGTAAGTCTCTAATCTCACACTGATTTGATTCTTATTTGATTGTTATCATGATTCAATTCAACTCACTTATTTTAGTGTCTTATGTGCACACCCTTGGATTACTGAGCGGGTCAGTGGGGCCAGTGGCCAGGGGTACCAGAGGCCTTAAGGGGCCCAAAGACTGTGGACAGTCCACTGCAGGCGCCAAAATTAGATAAATGAGAAGCTCTTGAATATGTAAATAATAAATAAAAGAAATAAAGGCTCCTGGACCCACAGCCCACCACCATATTTAAAATAATAAAAATCCAACTAACACAAAAATGCCCAAAAACAGTGGAGAAAACAGGCTATTTCACACATTTTAAAAAATAATTTTGCTTGTTTTCATTTTATTTGTTCCCAAAATTTATTTAAAGCACATGTAAACAAACAGTAGCTGTTAATTAAAAGAATTATTTTTTTTTTTTTACGTTTTTTGTTTGTTTTACTGTCTGAGTATGGGATGTCGGTGGGGAAGATGTTTGTGCCCAGGGGCTTAGTGAGACCATGATCCAAGCACACCTTCATTAAAAACAATGGTTTCAAATTTCTGCCAGTCACAGGCCTGACCGTTTGGGGTGTGGTAACCTTCACATTGCAAAAATCAGTGCTGTAGAATAGCCAGTTTCAGAGAGATGCTTCAAAGCATTATTCCCACACTGTCTTCTAGGCCCACATGCTTCACCTTTTCTATGACATGGGTTCCTCCAAAGCGTTTGACGAATTCGGCCGGAGAGGCCACGGTGAAATCTCTGGGCACGTCCATCCTCCTCTGCTCTCGGCCTCTCCTCATCAGGTGGGGACCAGACATACTAGGCCTGTAACAGACAGGAACAAAGGTACAAGTATATGTGACTGATGTCGATTACAGCAGGAGGTACATGTGAGAAAGTACACTGGAAATCTGACCCTTTTACCTCTCTCTGCCAGTTGACCCTGAATAACCTACAGAGCTCTGATAACTCTGCTGATATACAGTGCTTAACTTGCTTATTATGCTGATTTGCTTGCATGCAAAACCGCTGCCTTGTGTTTTTTTTTATTTTATTTCTTAAGTATATTTTTCTGTTTGTTGTAGTGCCGGGCGATGTGGTAAACACCTAACAACACATTTTATGATACACAATAAGTCCTACAGTATTTACTTTCCCTGAGGTTTGATACGATGGAACACATGAAAAAGCACTTGTATTGCCACATTTTTAAAAATACTGTCAAAAAGTGTGAAATCAATGATGTTTATTCAATATTTCACATACTGCACTGGACTAATACAACAAATACAACTAAACAGGACTAATTAAGGTTTCCTTGTAAAGAAACATGTAGTTTTCTGTGATGCAGTGACATATCGCATGACTACTCACCGCTAGTTTAATATCAGTGTGTTTATATGGAAGCTCTTTTCTTGTATGTGTGTGAACTTGAATTGCTTGCTTATAATATCAAGCCTTGTGGACTAGAGCAGAAAATTAGCCAGTTGGCTAAAAGAACAGAGGATCATTTTAATTTTAATCAAGCCTACAGTTACTAGTAGAAAACCATTTGGCAACATGCACAGATGCATGTTCTACACAATGCAGTAATCTATCAAATCTAATAGCAACAAAAAACAAGAATACACTGTCAAGCGAGCTTGTGAAGCTAAACATGCCTAGAACTTATACAGCACCAACACATACACATGTACAGTGTTCTTTTGTACATACCCGGTAATAATCCATCAGAACAATGTGCCACACTCAGCTGATCTGAGCTGACCGTTCTGCTCTCTGTACCCTGCTCGTCTAGGTAACTGCACTTGCAGGCCTATTACACAGGCCAATCACGTCTGAGTATCTAATCACTGCAGTCACAGGGAGGTGGTGCTAACCCCTTCATCACAGTCTGGACTTCAACACTTCATATCCTGCTGAAGTGTTATTTCTTGACAGCGACAACAATAATAACAGCACAAAAATACAGTAGGAACCAGAGCACGCAAAGGACCAGCACAGAACCTTAAACAATTTTATCATAGTATTGAAAAATGAAAAAATGAGTATTAGTAAATGTAAACCTGCACAGCTGATACAGCCCTCGCTTTCTTCTCAGCATCTCTCATTGAAACCACTAAGCATCTAGATACAGCCTATCTACAGGTTATAGCTCAGCTGTACTGATTTATGAGATCACTATTTTGCACAAGCGTGAGCTACTCTGCAATATTCCATTTAAAAATCAATTAATTCTTTAATAAATAACATTTCAGAGCCAAATCAATCCATACAGTATATAGGTACAGCGTTAAGATGTTTATACTTAATATCAAAAATCAGATCAATTCTTGATCTCCAAACATTAAAGTAGTTGTAAAGTAAGTAACACTTAAAGGAACACTAACGTCCAGCTTCACTCAGCATCTTGAGGTCCATATATTAAAAAAAAAACAGGAAATTTTTCTTTGACTAACTAAATGAGTTTCTTGTAGTACCTAAACAATGTAATAGCTTCAAAATGTAATGTTCAGTCCACAGGCCATACTCTCACCTAATGAGGCAAGACAGTCTGAACCTAAAAGGTTAACGGCTAAACCTAAGCGACTGACTTTTCCTTCCTCTGTCTTTTTCCCTTTAACACATTACAGTGTAATGTCTGCTCTTTCAAGAACAAGCCAGACTAAAACTCACTAAACGGGAGGTGAGATACTCTGTGCTTTGCACCGTTTTACATTAAAGAATTTCAACCTGTCCACTACTAATGACAGCCATTCGTCTTACTGCAGTAAGACAGCTACTTCAGCCTACAGCAGTTTAGCTCCGCTCATTCAGCCTACAGCAGTTTAGCCCCACCCGTTTCCACTGTAGTGATATGGAGTGCTGTTATTGTAGACAGTCTCTAGTTATTGTGATGAAAGTGGGAAATGGATGTGGGAAAATGATCAAACGTTGTGCTGTTCCTGTACTGTCAGGCAGCAAATTGGATCATTGCAGTTTCCAAAGGACCTACACATCTGAAAGGAACAGCTGAGGTTTTTTTCCACATTTTAGTCCGAACTACTTTTTAAACGAGGCACAATACAGGACAGCCAATGAGACAGAGGTCATGAGCATTTATCAGTCTTGTAATACGAACATGTTAAAAGTATGCCTGTTTTGATGCATAAACCCACATTAATTTTATGTTATGGACATGGAAAAGATAAAACAGAAGAAAAATATCCCGTTATATATATGGGCCCTTGCTGGCCTGCTCTGTTCTGTCCAGCTGGAGAGGTTAAAGGGACATGTGTTTTTCCAGCTGGCTTTGACACAGGCTGCTTTGATACTGGAGCAGGTGACAGCAGAGACAGAACAGTCAAACAACAAACTAAGGCTAGATGGTATTGCATAAGTTAGAGGTGGGTGATATAAAAAAAAGGTATAACACAATACTCAGACATTTTCAAGATACACAATATGTATCTTTTGATGTTTTGACGCAGACAAAACGCACCAGTTGTGCCACATTTGACACTGAAAATGAACAACTTGTAAGCCTGTGACGATTATTACATACTTGCAATTATTTGCTGATTTTGTTAATTTTGTTAAGCTGACCGCAATTATTTTCCACAGTTGTTAACGTTCACTAATATATGTTTATGTTGCAACAAACAGAATATGAATCAGATGCTTTTTCATCTGTTGGGTTGAGGCAAATAAATGTAAATACAAGAAGGCAGAAAGTGTATGTATTGAGACACAGCCAAACCACGAAAGTTCTTCTGACTGACATTATATGACCTTTAGAGGGCAGCAGTGAGTAATGTTTGTTTATTTGAGTTGAGCTGTTTCTACAGTCAGTTGGAAGCTACTAAGTATTGACAGCTAGTGGACAATCAACTAATAGAGGCAAGACGGCTTATTAGTTTTAATTAATTTAATTTAATAAAATAATCATCAGCTAAAATGTCAAGAGTTACAGACATAATAACTCGCAATTATTACATAATTACCAACTCACAATTACTTAAATATGATCACAATTACATAAGCTGACTGCAATCACTTTACACAGTCACTGGATTTCAGTCATAATGTGCTCCAAGAAACAAAATGTGAACTGGAGGCATTAAGGCAAATAAAGCTAAATAAAAGAAAGCAGTTAACTTCTTTAAATCAGAGGCTCATTACACACTACGGCTTATTCATTTACTACACAGACTACAATAGAAACTAGCTGAGTTATTAAGCTATAGCAGTGTGCAGTAAAACACCGGGCCTGCCGGTGGGCCCTGGCCTGTTAAGGGGCTAATGCATTCATTCAGACATGAATCATGGGGCTTACGATGAAAACGAAAAAAGGGTCTAATGTCCAACTTGGTGCTCTAAAATGCTCAGATGTGCTGAGTGTGCAGTGCTGAGTAATGTTTTCTCCTTATCATCTTGCACATGTTATCCATGTAGCAACCTATAAGGTCTTTAGCATGTATGCTAGCAGAATCAATTGTTTTGCTTATATTCTTCCTCTCGTGAAGAATCTGTAGAGTTGCTTAACTCTACACATAATTCTGTGTAACTGTGGACATTTTTGTGAGTAATGACTCAACAGTTTTAGCTACTAAGCAAACATAGCTAGCAAGTTGGGCCAATTTAGCCACTTGTGTTTGAATAGCTGCAAACAATGAACAAGACTATTATATTGTACTGTACAGTACATAATCACTGTACATACCGTGCTATAATCCTACTGAATAAGAATCTTCCCCACTTACTGTAGTCAATGCACATACACACTTTCATTCACTGCAATATACATGTTTTATATATACGCTTACATTTATATTCACTGCTATTTTTTACTTTATCTTTTTATATATGTTTTTTATTGGATTTAATTTTATGTTGACACCTGCACCAAGAGAACCCGATTCTAACTGTTAATCACAAATAGTTATTTGCCAATTAATCGCAAGCTAAAATGTTGTGATCATGACAGCTCTAGCTTAGTGGTCATTTGGACTCAAAATGAAAGGTGGCCTCTGAATTTTGCACAGTACTGTAGTATTAACACATCTTAAACTCCAAAAGGAGGCCACTGCAAACTTTCAGGAGTTCCTGGAGACATGGTGTGGGAAACAAGGAGGGAGGGCATGACTGTGAAACTGCAGCTCAGTCTGAGCAGGCTTTGTTCTCAGCCGTCCAGCTGCAAATGCTGAACATGATGCACGTCTGCAAATGCATTAGGATCAGAAACAGGGCCTGTTCATTCTGTCTGCGCGTGGCTTCATGCATTAACTGATCTTGATCAGCGCTGTAAGAAGCTGGCAGCAGTAGCGGAGAAGCTAAGAGTTTCTACTGACCTCCTGAGCTCCTGAAACCAGTTGACCACTTGCTGTCCATCGCTGTCCATGACACAAACTTGGACATTCGAACAGAAAAAAAAAGACAACACCAGCCCCTTTTGCACTCTTTCTTTTCCTCTTTCTTTTCAGTAACTCTTCCTTAGTCTTTCTCTCTCTCTCTCTCCGCCCTCTTCCTTTTTAACCCAACCCCTCTCTCTCACTGCTGTTCACACACTGCCTCTCGTCTCTCTCCTCCTCCTTTCTCTCTCTCTCTCTCTCTCTCTCTGTCCCCTCCCCCACGCGGACCAAAACAACTCTGTAAAACAGAAGCACGTGGCTCAGAAACACAGTGTCAGTACTGAGGCGCTTTCAATACCACGCCTGCAGGAAACCCAACACCACGCTCACTCGAACACACTCACGTTTCCGCTTTTGGAACATGTTGTACACAAAGAGTTTCACTTACATAAACTTCCTGACAAACTGTAAACAAAAGACTTTTTTACGGTAACTTAATGTGTGTGATATACGGCCTGACAGCTTTTCAGAGCTGACCAACATGGCAAAAATGCAACGTCACGATACTTGAAGTTTTCACGATGTCATATTTATATTTACATCATCTGATAAATCAGAACAGAGGAAATAGTGCCCCAACTGAAAATACGATTAAAAACTATGAATCACACTAAATCCAATTAAAAAGTACTACTGGTGCTCTCTTTGTGAGCAAACATGCAGTGTTTTTATCATCTATATTCCACTACAGCCTGAGTAACACAGGCCCTTTTACAGAATTAGCTCAAATTGCTGTCCCACAGTAAAAAAAAAACTGTTTAAAGAAACAAGAATTATGCTCTGATTTATTTTAACTCAGGTATTAATCTTTAACGTTCTGCTCAACATTTTGGTAGAGCACATTTTGAGTCACTATATATGTTCTGATTTTGCCGCAAAGTGCCATCTCAACAGTTTGGTAGGCGCGAATATTTCAAAAACTGTGGGGTAAAAAAAACGAACAAAAACATGAAAATTACAAAAAAAAATTCCATTGTTTTTTCTTGGTGAGGACATCAAAAGGTTTAACAGAGATAGCAATAGGCCACATATACAAAATTATAGGGTTCTTTCTGTTGTGGTATCTGTCCCAAACCCCAACCCCTAAATTTACACATGGGAGATAATACTTACATTTTTGGGGATTTTAAATGTATATATTTTTTAAGATCTTTCTGATTTCCTTTAAAGTGAAGTTGAAAGATTTCGATGTAGAATGAGTTTAATTTTTTAATTAAAAAAATGCTGTCCCACGTTTTTTAATGTCACCACTGAAACACTCAAAGTTTTAGTCTGTGGGCGGAGACTTATTTTAGCCACACCCCTGCATTTTGGAGCAGGAAGTGAGACTGCATCCCTGTCCCTCATGGCCACATGGTGAGCAGTTAGATCCCACTGTTTTGAAGTAAATGAGCCCCTAAGACTAAAAAAATCAGTGTGGAACATTAAGAATTAGAACTGTCACCACCAAAACACGTATTTTCTGCAATTAAGTAAACTTTTTTGTGTTTTAATAAAACATTTATGATTTTATGTGTGAACAGCTGTTCAAAGCTGTGTTTGCTGATCATGTTCTGGCTGTGTTTTTCAGTTCTGCTCAAAATGAGCCAAAGTTGTCACTACCGAAGCAGACAGAACTGAAATGTGGTAGTTTGGGTTGTGTTATGATTGTGTTGTTAGTGACAAAATGGAACGCTCAATCATTTATTTTAATAAAAAAAAAAAACATAATTAAGGTATAACATCACTCAAAGCAAAAGGATTTTAGTCCAAGTAGGTTAAAAGTCCAAATGTGTTTCAACTCGACTTTGAACCAGTTAAGCAGAACGATGAATTTCGGACACATTAACTTAAAAACAGTGGTTCACCATGTGGCCATGAGGGAGAGGGATGCAGTCTCAAATTCCTGCTCTAAAATGCAGGGGCGGGGCTAAAATAAGGCCCGTCTACTGACCAAAACAGTTTTGGTAGTAACATGAAAACGAGTGGCAATTTTAAATGAAGTCTTTTATTTAAAAATTAAATGAAATGAAATCTTTCAGCTTCGATTTAAAATAAATAAAACATTCTTTAAAATTAGGTATTAATTTCACAAGTGTAAATTTAGTTGTTAGGGTTTGGGACTGACTCCTCTCAACAGAAAGCACCCTATAAATGATGATTTTGTATATATTTGGCTCATTACTATCTATATTAATGCCTTCGGATGAAATAGACTAGAACATAATTCTTTATCCAAGCTCTGAATACTTCATTGCTGATTTTTCGGTAAAATGGTTCATATCTACAAAAACTTGTGACTAAATGTAATATTTCTTTGAGTGTTACAGAATGCAGCAAAAATAAAAAAACAAAAACAAAAACAAAATAAAAGCAACAACAATAACAAAAAAAAAACACTTGTGCAGCAACCTATCATCGCTTAAACATTCTCCTTTTCTGGAGTGCAAGAAAGGTGTCATCATACATTGTTTTGAAATACTGGCCAAACCTAAACATAATTCCAATGCAGATAAATGTTTCTTAAACAATCATCTGCGATACTGATAGGATTCCCTGCTCACTAACCTGTAGATCCTCTTCTCCTGCCTCTTTTCTCACCTCTTAGCTCACAAAGATTCACTTCCATTTCTGAAAATGTGTCCCTGGAGTAGCAAAACAAGAGTCCTCTTCAGGAGAGATGTTCTTTACCGGCCAGGGACCCGGCTAGTGCCGCTATCTGAGTCGAGTACTCATGGTTGAGGCCCTAATTACCCAGACTGGCATTCTTAAAGGCTTTCAGTGCAGAAGAGCTGATCCAGGATCAGACTCCTCAGCCTGTTTACGCTGATCTAAGTTGACCAGAGACGCTTTGTGAATGCCGGCCCAGATTCTTTCCACAGGTCAGGTAAACACATAAAACTAGCCTTCACTACAGTGCGTGCCCGCTCAGAGTCCATCTCTATCTATGGTCTTCCCCAGAGGACAAACAATCAGGAGGAATGAGGGGACACAGTGTGTTGGCCAAAACCATCTAGAGGCCTGTTTTTTGTTGCCATGTCATTGTGCATGCTGTTCACAGTCAGTGTCAGACAGGAGAGCTTCCAGAAATAGCACAGAGACGTACGGCATGCGGTTATAACACACAGGCCGAGCACATGGAGAAAGGTCATGTGACCAGGTCATGTGAGTGGCCACAACACCTTAGAGTCATAAATCAGACAATTTCATGTGCAACAACGCCCTCTGGTGGTATAAATGTAGGAGGAAAAGCTTGAAATTAACAAGAGAATAGGAAAGACAAAAAAACTCACACCGAACTCAAAAGTACCTTCAAGTGAGCCGGCTGATTAGCCAAACTAGATGCAATTTAACAGAATAAATAATCAAAATAGCTTAATTTAAAGTAATTCAGAGTGGTTTTATTGTAGAGGAACAGACTCAGATTTCTTTACCGTGGTGGTGATAGGAACCAGAAGTCACCATGTCTACAACACAAATATAGACGTTTTATTTCCTATCCAAAACCACCAGTGAACCTACACAAGTCTTTAAATGGAATGCTGATGATGGTAAAAGCAAGTTTTCTTTGGGGACTATTTTGCCATATAATGCCATGCATGTACTTCTCCACCATGAACAGATAAAAAAAATGCTTTTAGAGACATTAAACTCTTCAGATGTCTGGTTCCTATCACCACCACTGTGAACAATTCAGACTCTGTAAGTTTCTCTATAACAGAGCGTTTCACACCAAACCACTCTGAATGACTCTGTTTACATCTTAAACATTCAATTATGCAAAATTATGCACATTTTGAAAAAGAGGTGGAGTTCCCCTTTAAAGCACATACAGTGTAGAAGCAGCTGTCCTGCTTAATAATAAAGAATAAGAAAAGATTTCACTAGCTTATTTATTTTCTAGATACTTTTTAAAATATTTCAGGCACACAGATAGTGTGTCCTTTTTATACGCATAAATGTTATTTTGGTCAACTATTGTTGTTTTTAATGTTCTTTATAAACGAGACCCTCCAACAAAAACCATATCCTAACCATTCCACCCTTTTTGTTGCATTATCAGTTATTTTGTTTTCTATTTTTGAATTGTTTTCCTTGTTTTCTACATTAAAAAGCCCAACTATGCTTTATTTACCCCTTTATTTGAACTACACGGCATCAAACAATGCCATAACCTGCTTCTATGATTTTTATAACAAAGTCACAGATACTATTTTCTACTTACTATTTATTTACTTCACCAGTTACCTACAGTGTTACTCTGAAAGCAGTGCAGTGATGAGTCTTCAACCTTTCATCAGATGACATGATCAGAGTAAACATAAACACAGAGCTCAGAGGTGTTACTGAGTGTTAGAGTAGACCCCTACCTTATGCTTATGGAGGGCTGAGGGGGGGTCTGCGTCTCCTGTGAGGTCGAAGTTGTGGCTTCAGGGGCTGCTGAGTTTTGAGGTTTGGCAGTTTGGCCCAGAGCTTGAGGTTCGTCATCAGACGAGTTATCTTCAGACGCTCCCAAGATGAACTTCAGCTTCTCTCTGGCTTCTTCAGCTGCTCCAAACCTGGGCCTGGAAGTGTGTGATGATATTTATCATTAGTGTGAGAAATTCTGTCACATCATATTATCATGATGTCACCAGCACTCAAAGAAGACTGACCAGCTGCATGTTCCACTGTAGACCATAATTAGTCCTGTTTGATTTAGTGCAGTGCAGCATGTGAAAATCACTGTACTCACAATTTTTATTTTTTTTTAAAAATGTGGATCTTTTTTTCTAACCAATCAAACCTCAGAAAAAAATATTTCTTTTGTCCACCCCTACCTGGAAGCTTCCGTGGTAACTTCAGAAGGGCATGATAAATCTGGAGCTGTTTGTTCCATGGCGTCTGATTGGATGGACAGATGGTCAGTTGAATCGACTGTCTCACTATCTGTTAGCACACAACAATCCCCCTGTAAGAAAGGGAGGGAGAAACATTGATATAAATGTATGCAGCAGTGTTACATTATGGATTTTAGTGTATTGTTGATAAGCCCCGCCCACAAGGGAAATCACTAATAGCTCCGCCCACACGGGTAATCAAATATAAACTTAAACAAGTGACAATTATCAACAAAACAAATAGCATCCCTCAACCTTTACATTATTAGAAACACATTTTTTCATCAATCAACCAATCAATGAAGTAATTTTATGAGACTATATTGTAACATCTAGGGCTGTTACTATTGATCATTTACTAATAATTTGCCATTTACTCTGACAATTAATAATCAGCTTTAAAAAAAGGCCAAACAATAACAAACGACTCAACTAAACAATAATGAGTCATGCAGAGTCTTTCAAAAGATCACAAAATCCATTACAGGAAAAAGATAGTCCTGTGCAAAAGTTTGGAAGCCCCTGGTCGAATTACATGTTTTGTTTGACTTGTGAAAGTCAGTACACATCCTCGACAGGGAACACACTTCTGCACATTTTAATGCATGTGTAACGTTTACTAAATTTAACATACAAATGAAAAATACAACATAAAATGTGCAAAAAGCTATGGCACTCTTTACATTTGAAAAAGTGCCTGTCTTACAACTTCATGATGAATGAACAGACTGATGGAAATGGTCCAAACTGACTCGCATAAAATCTTGCATTTTTCCTTCTCTTTTCTGAAGATACGAGGCTTCGTTCTGACAGCGATGCCATATAAAAACACTGTGGCGAAAAATCTGACAAGTAAACTCCGCTGACTTATTGAGAGGATATATTATTTTTTAAATCCAGTAATTCTGACAGCCTTAGTAAAATCAGCCTTATCACACTGTTATTGATCAGACTGTGGTATATGCTGTGTTATAAACATCATATCCTACCTCTAAGTGGTTTGCCGCGCTGCAAAAGCTGGATCTCTTGCATCAGCTTCTCAAGGGAGGCATCCAAACAGGCTGTCAGTTTACAACAACAGAGCGTAGAGGACATGAGAAATCCAGCTCAGAGGCCATCAGCAGGACTGAACGTAAGTCCTTCAGGAGGGAGTCTTTTTAAGCATCTAAAATGGCCTAAAATGGAAAAAATAAACAGTAAGAGATGGTTAACTAAATACTGAATAACAGTAGTGATGGCCTTTTTGAAGCTAAAGTGAGTGGCTATGAAAATAACAAAAAAACTTTTCCATACTGAATAAATACTTGTGGAATGTATAGTCAGAAATTAGCCTCTTTTTTTTTTCTAAGACAGTCTGAATCTCACCTACAGGACTCAACCCTTGATATTAGCCTGGACTGTGATTCACAGAACATACAGCACATGTCAAAAGTTTGGGGACACCTAGGTACAAGATTGAAGTGTTTTCCTTGTCAGGTTGCCATTATTTGCCATATCAAACAGTAAGATTGATAAACAGAGCTGATAAAAGTTCTACCTTGGGAACAAAGCCAAAGGCCACGTGTTTTACTCTCTTGTGACGTCAGTACACAAACCTTTGGGCCAAAAGACTTCAACAACTTTTAACAACAGACACTTTGATGAACATCAAACAACAAAATCATTCACACAGAGCTGAAGTTCACAAAACCTTTTCGTTTTTTAAATAACATTGACATTAACAGTGAAACTCAAACATTACTCAAGGCAGGGTGTCTCCAAACGTTAACACAAAATTTACATAAAGATCATAAGCAACACCACTTTGAAAAAAACCTACTTACCCACAACGACCCATATTAATCAGGACAGTCCACATCCCATTAGAATCTGCTAAGCCATATTTATATTAAGGGCTAAAACTGTGACATAAGCAGCAGATGGACAAACAGAAATGGTGAAAGCAGCGGCCAAACAGGTCAGTAGCTGCTGGACACAAGTCTGCATGTTGTACCGGCATGGTCTGTCCCGTCAGCCCGATCGTATTTTACCCCTTGCCCTATGAGCGTGACCTCACTGTGTTTATTTCCAGCCCACCCCCTCCTCTCTCCTACAAACAGACCCTCAGAAGGCATGCAGTCAGCACTTCAGTATCCACACATCCACTGCAGGCTCCAATACAGACCAGATATTAATGATACTAATCATGCTGAAAGAGTGCAGGGCTGAACGAAATCTGGGTCTAAGAAACTGAGAGCAAACCTGGACCTGGAGAGCGGCTGAAAGCTGCAGCCTGTCCTTTATGCTTTGTTGATTATGGAAGGAATAAAAAGAAAAGAAAAAAAGCAGAGGGACTCTGGCCAAGAGGAGGTCGACTGCTCCTCCGTCACCACGACACAGAACACGTTAACAGGCTGTTACTGTTTGGGACTTTGTGCCAATTTGTGACTCTCCTTGTTTGTGCCTGTTGGCAACTAAGCCTACTTCTTTTCTGTTCGTGACTATTTTTTTGCATGTTTTTACCTGTTTGTTACTGTTTATACCCATTTCTGTTCAATTACTGCAGGTCTCACTGCGTCTGTTTTTGGTCTTTATTTTCCCTAGCTATCTGTCTTTTTCCTGTTTTACCTGTCTGTAAGAGTATTTATTATGAAGTTAACGTATTTATCCTATTTTTAAATCAATTTAATGAATTTCTACCTGTCTGTGGGTGTATCTATCCTATTTTTAATCCGATTTAGTAGGTTCTTACCTGTCTGTGGGTGTATTTATCCTATTTTAATTAGGTTTAGTAGGTTCTTACCTGTCTGTGGGTGTATTATCCCACTTTTAATCTGGTTTAGTGCATTTTTACCCATCTGAGAGTGTATTTATCCTATTTTAAATCTGGTTTATAAGTTTTTACATGCATGTGAGTATATTTATCTTAATTCTAATCCAGTTTAATAAGTTTTTACATGCTCGAGTGCATTTATTTCAATTTTAATATGGTTTAGTGTTTTACCCTCTGGGTGTATTTATCCTATTTTAAATCTGGTTTAATAAGTTTTTACGTGTTTGAGTGTATTTATCGTATTCTTAATCTAGTTTAGAAGTTTTACCTGTCTGTGGGTGTATATATTCTATTTTAATCAGGTTTAGTAGGTTCTTACCTGTCTGTGGGTGTATTTATCCTATTTTTAATGCGGTTTAGTAGGTTCTTATCTGTCTGTGAGTGTATTTATCCTATTTTTAATCAGGTTTAGTAGGTTCTTACCTGTCTGAGAGTGTATTTATCCTATTTTAATCAGGTTTAGTAGGTTCTTACCTGTCTGAGAGTGTATTTATCCTATTTTTAATCAGGTTTAGTAGGTTCTTACCTGTCTGTGAGTGTCTTCATCCTATTTTTAATCAGGTTTAGTAGGTTCTTACCTGTCTGTGGGTGTATTTATCCTATTTTTAATCAGGTTTAGTAGGTTCTTACCTGTCTGAGAGTGTATTTATCCTATTTTTAATGAAGTCTAGTAGGTTCTTACCTGTCTGTGAGTGTATTCATCCTATTTTTAATGAGGTTTAGTAGGTTCTTACCTGTCTGAGAGTGTATTTATCCTATTTTAATCAGGTTTAGTAGGTTCTTACCTGTCTGAGAGTGTATTTATCCTATTTTAATGAAGTCTAGTAGGTTCTTACCTGTCTGTGAGTGTATTTATCCTATTTTTAATGAGGTTTAGTAGGTTCTTACCTGTCTGTGAGTGTATTTATCCTATTTTAAGCAGGTTTAGTAGGTTCTTACCTGTCTGTGAGTGTATTTATCCTATTTTAAGCAGGTTTAGTAGGTTCTTACCTGTCTGTGGGTGTATTTGTCCTATTTTAAGCAGGTTTAGTAGGTTCTTACCTGTCTGTGGGTGTATTTGTCCTATTTTAAGCAGGTTTAGTAAGTTCTTACCTGTCTGTGAGTGTCTCCGAGCCTCTTTCTGTCCGTTCTGACCTGTCTTAGTGTCCCTGGAGCTGTATTTGGGTGAAGGGTCAGCTGGAGCTGGTGAATGAACTGAAGGAGTTTCCTATCAGCTCTCACAAACAACTAGCAGCTTATTCTGGCAGTGAGAACCCAAAGGTCAGAAATGCCTCCGTATGACACTTGTTACAAAGACGACGGGTTAGCTGTGAGCATGAAACACGTGTTTCTGCGTTTCTCATTTCAAACTCAACACTTATAACCCGCACAGTGGTCATTCTCCGTTCGAGCAGGTCAAAACCCCCTCTTTCTGTATAAACTAACGTACAGCTATAGAGCAGCCACCGTTAACTGACTCGTTAAGGCAGTAAACATGACGCTACGCGTTGTTTTCATACTCTTGAGTGGTTTCGTGTAGGATATGTTAAGCAAACTTCACCGTGAACGTAGTGGCCACATTAATGTGCCGCTGACCGAAACAGACTGACCAGGACAGGTGTTGGTCAGAAAGTTTAAGTTGCTCTCTTATTAGAATTTTCCGTTCCACCTTAAATGGTGCAGCAGTGACGCTCTGTGCATTGTGGTGGCTGTGCGGGCGCCAGGGTGTAAGCGCGAGTATTTAAGGTGGAACAGAGGAGTCGCTAAGAAAACAAGCCTCGTAAGTGAACTACGTTACGTCGTGTTGCACGTTTGTAAACAACTGGCTAGAGTGAGTTATCGGACACCAACCCCCTCAGCATCAGATAACAGGTGTGGCTGTCTGGCTTATAATATCTGATAATCACCTCTTCGGGCTGAGTTCGCGAAAATCAGGGCGTTGACATCGACACCTAAACCTGAAACTGCTCCGCACAGTTACCATCATGTCATCCTGCAGCAGAACCAGAGCTCCGATATAGTTTGTGGCTGCGTCCCATTTCACGAGCATCGTTCACTTCTGCTTGTTTTCCTCACTTGAGGTTGAGTGGCTGCGTCCCATTTTACTATTATTGTTCACTTAAGCTTGTGCCCTTCAATCAGTCCAAAATAGAGGCTTGTAGCTGTGTGGCTGTGTTCCATTTCACGAGTATTGTCTACTTCTTGTTTCTTTGACTCACTCATGTTGAGAGGACAGATGTGGTTGTGTGACTGCGTCCCATTTCAGGTTTGTCGTCTACTTCAACTTTTGTCTCCTTCGCTCTGTTTTAAACAGAGGACAGTTGTAGCTGGGTGGCTGTGTCCCATTTCAACATTCTCATTCGTTTCAGTTTGTTTCCATCATTCAGTTTAAAATATAGAGGACTGTTGAGGTTGTGTGGCTCTGTGCCATTTTACTATTATTGTTCACTTCAGCTTGTGCCATCAACTCGGTTCAAAATAGAGGGTTGTAGTTGTGTGGCTGCATCCCATTTCACAAGTATCGTCTACTTCAGCTTGTTTCTTTCACCTATTTTGAAACCGAGGGCAGTGTATGGCTGTGTCTCATTTCACTATTATTGTTGACTTCAGCTCGTTTATTTCACTTAGTTTCAAATAGAGGACCCTTGTAGCTGTGTGGCTGCGTCCCATTTCACGATTATTGTTAATTTCAGCTTGTTTCCTTCGTTCAGTTTAAAACAGAGGATAGGTGTGGTTGTGTGGCTGCGTCCTTGTCTACTATTAGTGTTCACTTCAGCTTGTGCCGTTCACTCAGTTTAAAATAGAGGGTTGAAGTTATGTGGCTGTGGACAGTGGTAGTTGTGTGGCTGCGTCACACTTCACAAAAAAACGGCCATTTTTATTTCTTCATTTATTTATTTATTTTATCCCTGACTGCAATAGGACAGTTGTAGTTCTGTGTCTGAGTCCCATTTCACAATTATGATTCACTTCAGCTTATTTCCTTCAATCATTTTAAAGTAGATGGCCGCGTCCCATTTCATGATAGGACAGTTTTCATGTTTATCATTCACTTTATTTTATTTTCTTCATTCCGTTTAAATTACAGGACCGTTGTAATTGGATGGCTGCATCCCATTTCATGACAAGACAGTTGTAGTTGTGTGGCTGCGTCCCATTTTAAGATTATCATTCACTTCAGCTTATTTTCTTAATATTCATTTTGAAATACAGGACAGTTTTGGTTGGATGGCTGCGTCCCATTTCACAATAGGACAGTGGTAGTTGTGTGGCTGCATCCCATTTCAAAATTATGTCACTTCAGCACATTTCCTTAATTAGTTTTAAAACAGAGGACAGTTGTTGTTGTGTGGCTGCATCCCATTTCACAATTATCTTTCACGTCAGCTTGTTGACTTCATTCATTTTAAAACAAAATAGCCCAGATTGAAATAGGACAGTTGCAGTTGGATGGCTGCGTCCCATTTCACAGTTACCATTCACTTTGGCTCATTTCCTTCATTCATTTGAAAATACTTGGCCGTTGTAGTCAGATGGCTGCGTCCCATTTCACAATAGGACAGTGTTAGTTATCTGGCTGATATACACCACAGTTATAGTTATATGGCTGTGTCCCATTTCACAATCATCTTTCACTTCACTTTGTTTCTTCATTCATTTTAATATACATAACAGTTGTGTGTCCCATTTCACATAATCGCCGACTTCATCTTTTGTTTTAACCCAGATTGAAATCGGACAGTTGTAGATGGATGGCTGTGTCCCTTTTCACAATTATCATTCACTTCAGCTCGTTTCCTACATTCATGTTACAGTAGAGGACATTTATGGTTGAGTGGCTGCGTCCCATTTCGCAATTATATTTCACTTCTTCTCTTTTACCCAGTCTGAAATAGCACAGTTGTAGTTGTTTGGATGCGTCCCATTTCACAGTTATCTTTTACTTCGGCTTGTTTCCTTCATTCATTTTAAAATACCCAACAGCTGAAGTTGGATGGCTGTGTCCCATTTCACAAACTCGCCCACTTTATCTTCTTTTTTATTTTACCCAGATTGACATAGGACATTTGTGGTTGGATGGCTGTGTCCCATTACACTATAGAACATTGACATTTATGTGGTTGTGTCCCATTTCACATCAGCTTGTTGTCTTCATTCATTTTAAAACACACAACAGTTGTAGTTCTGTGGCTGCGTCCCATTTCATGATTATCATTCACTTTAGCTTATTTCCTTCATTTTAAAGTACATTTGTGGTTGGATGGCTGTGTCCCATTTCATGATAAGACAGTGGTAGTTCTCTGGCTGTGTCCTGTTTAACAAGCACCATTCACCTCAGGACATTAGTTGATTTTAAAATACAGGACAGTTGAAGTTGTGTGGCTGCGTCCCAATTCACAATTATCTTTCACTTCAGCTTGATTCCTTCTTTCATTTTAAAATATGCAACAGTTAAAGTTGCGTAAAGTTGTGGTTGGATGGCTGCGTCCCATTTCACTGTAGAGCATTGATATTTATGTGCCTGCATCCCATTTCACTTTAGGCCGTTTCCTTAATTCATTTTAAAATAGACGACAATTGTAGTAATAGAGGACAGTTGGACTTGTGTGGCTGCGTTCCATTTCACAATGATCTTTCACTTCAGCTTGTTTCCGTCTTTCTTTTTAAAAATACTCGACAGTTGAAGTTTGTATGGCTGTGTCCCATTTCACATAATCGCCCTACTTCATCTTTTGTTTTAACTCAGATTGAAATAGGACAGTTGTAGTTGTGTGGCTGTGTCCCATTTCAGGATAGAACATTGATTTTTATGGGGCTGCGTCCCATTTCACGATTATCATTCACTTTAGCTTATTTCCTTCATTTTAAAGTACAGGACAGTTGTAGTTGGATGGCTGCGTCCCATTTCATGATAAGACAGTGGTAGTTCTCTGGCTGTGTCCTATTTCACAAGTACCATTCACTTCAAGATATTTCCTTAATTGATTTTAAAATAGTGAACAGCTGTAGTTGTGTGGCTGCGTCCCATTTCATAATTATCTTTCACTTCACTTTGTTTCTTCATTCATTTTAATATACATAACAGTTGTGTGTCCCATTTCACATAATCGCCGACTTCATCTTTTGTTTTAACCCAGACTGAAATCGGACAGTTGTAGTTGGATGGCTGTGTCCCTTTTCACAATTATCATTCACCTCAGCTTGTTTCCTACTTTCATTTTACAGTAGAGGACATTTGTAGTTGAGTGGCTGCGTCCCATTTCGCAATTATATTTCATTTCCTCTCCTTTTTTTTTACCCAGTCTGAAATAGCACAGTTGTAGTTGTTTGGATGCGTCCCATTTCACAGTTATCTTTTACTTCGGCTTGTTTCTTTCATTCTTTTAAAATACCCCAACAGTTGTGGTTGGATGGCTGTGTCCCATTTCACTATAGAACATTGATATTTATGTGGTTGTGTCCCATTTCACATCAGCATGTTTTCTTCATTCATTTTAAAATATACAACAGTTGTAGTTCTGTGGCTGCGTCCCATTTCAGGATTATCATTCACTTTAGCTTATTTCCTTCATTTTAAAGTACAGGACAGTTGTATTTGGATGGCTGCGTCCCATTTCCCAATTACCATTCACTTTTATTTTCTCCATTTTACTGTAGAACTTTGATATTTATGTGGCTGCGTCCCATTTCAGTTCAGGCCGTTTCTTTAATTCATTTTAAAATAGACAACAGTTGTAGTAATAGAGGACAGTTGGACTTGTGTGGGTGCGTTCCATTTCACAATGATCTTGTTGTCTTCATTCATTTTAAAATACACAACAGTAGTAGTTCTGTGGCTGCGTCCCATTTCACAATTATCTTTCACTTCAGCTTGTTTCCTTAATTTATTTTAATATACACCACAGTTATATGGCTGTGTCCTATTTCACAAAATTTCCCACTTCATCTTTTTTTTTCCCAGATTGAAATAGGACATTTGTAGTTGGATGGCTGCGTCCCATTTCATTTCAGCCCTTTTCCTTATTTCATTTTAAATTAGAGGACAGTTGTAGTTTTGTGGCTGCATCACATTTCACAATTTTCTTTCAGTTCAGCTTGTTTCCTTCATTCATTTTAAAATACATGTAGTTGAAGTTGAGTGGCTGCATCCCATTTCACTTCTGCTTGTTTCCTTCTTTCATTTAAAAATACAGGACAGTTATAGTTGTGCGGCTGCGTCCCATTTCACAAAATCGTCTGCTTCATCTTTTATTTTTTACCCAGATTGAAATAGGACAGTTTTATTTGGATGGCTGTGTTCCATTTCAAGATTATCATTCACTTTAGCATATTTCCTTCATTTTAAAATACAGGACAGTTGTAGTAGGA